GGTCAATAATTTTGAATGATGGTAAACAATCCACTGAACACAAAGTCTTGAACTACAGTAGGGTCTGGTAGACTCATTAGACCTCACCCAATTTTCTGTACCAGCTCCTTGCCTGTGGTGATGTAGAACTGGTGTGCAACTCTTATGAGCAAAACTGATTCAGTACCTGCAAAATTACGGAGAAGAACCAATTCAGGATATAGTATGAATCAGCAAAGTGTCCTTTCATGGCTTCACCTGTTTCCTGCTTTTAATTATGTTCCTCTCTTGCAATGGCACTGCTGCTGCGGTTCCATCCAGCTTGTGTCCCTCTGCCTTGGCTGCAGTGCTGGTGTGTTGAATGTTGTCCTCAGCACACACCTTCAGCTGGACTTACCAGTACTGCTGTAATGTCAGGGTTTATTTGCACTAACCCAGCAGATGGGCATAGATACATATATATATATATGTACATGTACACACAGAGATGTAGATACCTAGGTATATAGAGAGATACAGACAGATGTAGATGTGGATAGTCTGTGTAGATACTTTTTCCCCAGTGATTTCTGAGAGGTGATTTTGCTCATTTTGTTCCAGGAGTGGGCAGAGACAGTAGCATTTTCTACTGTTGTTTTGAATGTGAATAGTGGTGTTGTGCCTAAAAGAACAGCTTGTTCAAACAAGCACAAAAATTTTCAAATTTCAGATGGGAGCCCAGCTGGGGCTGTCTTCTGCAGCCTAAAGCAACATCTCCAACAACAAACACAATGATTCTCCCTTTTCCTCTAAAGACCACTCAAGAAATAAGCCTTTTTGGGGGAGAGATCAACAGTCATTCTGAATTTCAAGGATATGAAGAACATTGCCAGAGTGATTTGTTATCAGTCTCTAAATATCTGCCTTCTATACAGTACTCTTAAGTGATATGTAGCTGAGGTTTTTTAAACTCTTGGTTTTCCTGAGTTTTGGAGGGAACACCTGCTCAGTCCACAGAGCTGTAAACCAAATTGGGATCAAAACACTTTATTGATCTGTCAACAATATGGAATTAAGCAGCAATCAAAATGTTACATTCAAGAGTAATGCAACAAGTAAACCCTCAGACTAGACATATTAATGTTAATTAACACCAGCAATTCAAACACCCTCTGCAACAAATGCAAGAGACTTCTGAAATGCTACAAGCCTGCCTGACCACACATGCACATTGTTTTAATACTTGTGAGCATCAACTCTGAAACAGATTCAGGAAAATAAAACCCTGTTTCCACTTGTAACCTTTTTGATTTGTCTTCTTGAAAGTGGTTTTTGTAGCTCACAAACCCTTGACATTTCATGAAAATAATGGTGTAATTTTTATTCAATTAATTGTGAGTACAGGGAAGAGAATGGAACAGAAGAAAATCCTTACTGTGAGGGTGGTGAGGCACTGGAGTAGAATGCTCCAAAAAGTTATGGATGCTCCGTCCCTGGAAGCATTTAAGGCCAGGTTGGATGGAGCTCTGAGAAACTTGGTCTAGTGAAAGCAAGACAAATTCCTCTGTCTACAGTGGGAGAATTGAAACTACGTGATGTTTAAAGTTTCCAACCCAGGCCATTCTATGATTCTATTAATAAAATAGAATAGTTATGCAGTGTTAAGACCAGCATTATGCATGGCAAACTCTGATGTAGAAGTGAAGGGTCCATCCAGGACAGCATCTCAATGCTTTGCACATCCCAGGCCCATCCAGCACACAGGGGCAGAGATGGACACAGAAGGGGAAAAGCGGGCTCTAGAAGAATATAATAATAAATAGTGACTTTCTTAAAAAAAGAGAGTACTCCTGACTGAAATGATTTCATCTAGAAATTATCAAGAAGAAAAAAACCTGCCACCATCTTCTTTTCATTATGATTTCCCAGAGCTAGAGAAACCAGCTGTTCTTGGCTTGGACAGGTGCACTGGGTAAAAAACTGGTTGGATGGCTAATCCCAGAGAGTGGTGATGAATGGTGCTACCTCCAGTTGTTGGTAAGTCACAAGAGGTTCCAGAGGGCTCAGCACTGGGACCAGTCCTGTTCCTTATTGTTCATCTTTATTGATGATGCAGATGAGGGGACTGAGTGCATCCTCAGTCAGTTCATGGACAACACTAAGGTGAGCAGGAGTGATGGAAGGCTCTGTAGGGGAATCTGGACAGGCTGGGTCGATGGGCCAAGGCCCATGGTCTGAGGTTCAACAAGGCAAAATATTGGGTCCTGCATTTTGGTCACAACAATTCCATGCAGCGCTACAGGCTGGGGCAGAATGGCTGGAAAGTGGCCCAGCAGAAAAGGACCTGGGGACAGCAGGCGAATGTGGGCACAGCGTGAGCCCAGGTGGTCAAGAAGGCCAATGGCAGCCTGGCTTGAATCAAGGATAGTGCAGCCAGCAGGACCAGGGCAGGGATTGTCACTCTGTACTGAGCACTGGCGAGGCCACACCTCAAATCCTGTGTACAGTTTTGGGCCCCTCATGACAAGAGAAGACATTGAGGTACTCGAGCGAGTCCAGAGAAGGGCAACGGAGCTGGGGAAGGGTCTGGAGAGTGAGTCCTGTGTGGAGTGTCTGAGGGAGCTGGGTTGCTTAGCCTGGAGAAGAGGAGGTTCAGAGGGGTCTTGTCACTATCTACAGCTGCTTGAAAGAAGGTTGTAGCTAGGCTGAGGTCAGTCTCTTTTCCCAAACAAGCTACATGACAAGAGAAAATGGCCTCAAGCTGCACCAGAGGAATTTTAGATTGAATATTAGGAATTTTTTTTTGCTGAAAGGCTTGTCAGTCATTGGAACAGGCTGCCCATGGGAAGCAGTAGATTCACCATCCCTATAGGTATTTAAAGGATGTGTATATATGACACTTAGGGACACAGTTTAGCAATGGACTTGGCAGTGATGGGTTAGTGTTTGGACTCAATGACCTTAAAGGTCTTTTCCAACCTAAATGATTCTTAGATTCTAAGTTTCTTTAACATCCATTTTCTTTATAAAGACAGAACTTCTTGATTGTTGAACTTGCTTATAGAAACTCAGGCAACAAGGCCCAGTGCTTTTCAACAAAGATTCTGGAGCAAAACTGCATACACATTTAAAATTGTAACTCTGTGCAGAGATACACCTGGATAACATTTCTGGGAAGGAGAAATTGTATATAGAAGCCAATGATGCCTCCTCTGGTCTAAGCAAATCTGAGGGATTTACACATTCAATCAAGGAAAACAAACCAAACTCTGCCATCCCATCCCCATAAGGGTGACCTTTTCACCAGATCAAAATATTTTGGCAGACATTGCAATGCATGCAAGTACTTGACCACTTACTTTATCTAGTAAGAAAATCCATCACAAAATGTTATTGCATTCTCGAACACCATGGCATCAGTGCCAGCATCTTAAGACAATATGAACTTCCATCTGGCAGGTGCCATCTGGAGTCCTGGGAATCATATCCAATTCTCTCACCGAGTTTACAAATGCTGCAGCACTCTACAAGGAAGAGGAGCACCATTTCTACTTGCATCAGACTGGAACAATTGCAGGCTTTTTTTTTTTTTTTTGGGACAAGTGTTTTGCTTTTGCTTGGCATAACTTACTAGTTTTTCTAGCTTAAACCATCTATCATTTATTTGAAATCAGAGTCCAGAATGTCAGGAGTTCCTGACAGGCATTTTGGGACATGGAAGTTTTCTATTTAAACTTCAAAAGGATGTGGTATTACCCAAACTGATGGCTGGGATTGCGCCCAAGAGGCAGCAGGAATGAAGCAGAAAGCCTCTGCAACTCTTTCCTGGTCCTGCTGAGATGAAGGTACTACCAAACACTTTTGGCTCCTTTGCTGCATGCCCTCAAGTGTTGTCACAACTAAAGGTTAGGAGAATAGGAAAACACTGTCAGGTGGAAACTGCTTGTGAAAGTATACATCAGTCAGGTAAACCCCACAAGAGCTAATCTGGATATTGATTCTGCAAAAGAAAACACAACTCCTTGAGCTGGTAGAGTCACAGCTTCATAATCCTAGAGGGAAAAACATGGTTCTGTTTGGTCCTGTGACATTTTGTTCCAGGAACCACACAGCCCTACTGCCATGGTATTGCACTTCAGCCTCTAAGGTGCAGTAGGTCTCTGCAGCAACTTTTCACTTCAGGAGAGGCACCTCAGAAACAAATCTGGGGGCATATGGCTTGGCTACTAGCCCAAGTTTAAAAGCCTCTGTCAGCAGAGTAGACAGGTCTTAACATGAGCAGCTAAATTCAGGAGTTGAATAAAAGGCGGCATTTTGAGAAGACATATTAAACAGAGAGGGACACCAATGGCAAGGAAAATACTGAGGATATTGGAGAAAGGGATTAGAATAAGAAAGGAGTACAATCTTTTATGATGCAAGAGCCCAATTCAGGTAAGCAAGCAAGATAATTTGCAGTAAAAGGAAAAATGTAGTTCTAGTTACATTTCAAGTTATGACAACATATGTGTAGTCCTAAATGTACTATAATCTATTGCTAAGAAACTGTCACACAGTTTTAAGGAGAACGGCACCATAAATCTAGAATTACCACAAAGCATGCAGAATCCATTTGTGCTGAACTGATAAAAATCACTTGCAATGCTAACAGATTTTTTGCAGGTACCGTACTTGTTTTATTCAATTTAATACAATTACTCTGATTAATTTGCAGGTAATATAATACTAATTAACAAAGTATGAGTTTTATTCTTTCCTAGCAAAGAAGTAGGAACCAGGCTATAAGAGGATATCATAACTGATCACGATCTCAATTTTACATGATCTAGCACTACCCAGTTATGTTTAACCTGAGTATTTTCTTCAGCCAGAGTGAGAAGTATTGGAGCAAGCACAACTGTGATTTTTGCGGTGTGTTTTTTTTTTTTTTTCAGGACAGCACCATTACACAGAGCAATCACAAAATGACAGCCTGAAACCCATTTGTGGTTTGGTATAAGAAAGGAGACAATGACAAGAAACCTCTGCAGAACTCAACTAACTACAGAAGATATCTCATTTATTTAATCAGTAAATTTTAAATTAATAACATTTGTTAACTTTTTGCCTATGTATGCAGCACATTCAGCATAACTTTACATAACTTGTAACTTTAAAGTGTTGCATTTCGTTACTAGCAAAACTCAGTTTGACACAAAGTGAGGAGAAAAAAAAGGAAACAAATACCAGTCAGCATATTTACCATCATAACATAAAAAAATCAGCAATCTAAAGAACTGTCTAACAAGCTGCAAAGTTGTTTAAAAGTGAATTCAGTGTAATTTTTATTAAGTCAGAAGGAAGAACCAAATATAAGGTAAAAAGCTGCATATAGTTACAAATCTGTGTTTTAAGGGTTACAAATTGAGGAGAACCAACCTTTCAACAAAAATCTTTGTCTACCACTAACAATAACCAATAATTAAAAACAACTGTTTAACCTGTATTGCTTCAAATCAGCAACTTCACACAGACTTGATATCCACACTTGAAATGTGTTACAGAAACTGCAAAGCTTCAGGCAGTAAAATGCGACTTGTACAGTAACAGTTTTAAGACTCTTTACAAAGTACTCCATACTGAAGAAACTGGCAGGAGAATACAAGCTGCTTTGAAATTCCTCTTCAGCCCATGTGTTTATCAAGCTACTGGATAAAAAAACAAGGATTTCAGAATCCTATATACTAGGTGTATAAATATTCCTATTACAGGCTCCCAAAAATTAAGCCATGAACTCTGTAGAAGTCTTAAATGTGATCAAATCGGGGTGATTTGTCTAAGGAATTGGCAAGAGAGGTTAGTTAATTGCTCAAATTAGCATTATCTGGTGCAAGGGAGCCCCATGTTAACAGGAATATCAGATTTTTCCTAGAGCCACAGACAGACTGAATTCTGCCCAAAACCAGTAATAAAAAATCTTTAGGAAAAAGTTCACATAGCAAGTTTAGCCACTGCTGTTTAACTATAAGAAGGTGTTCTATGGTGGCAGGCTTTGTTTCGCAATAGAAATGCCTTTTGAAACTATTGAAATGACAAATAATTATAGTAATGATTTGTGAAATAGTATCAAAAGAACATCAAGCACAGACTGGATTCATTCCTTCACTCTTCAGGCTATGCACACTATATGAGGATTTCCAGGAATATCTCCTTCTTTTAATCTTCTGAAAAAACACTCAGGCAATCCCAACTGTCTCACCTTTGAGAAGGGCCACAAAGATGATCAGAAGGCTGTAGCACCTCTCCTGTGAAGACAGGCTGAGAAAGTTGGGATTAAGCCTGGAGAAGGCTCCAATGAGATTTAAGAGCACCTTCCAGGACCTAAAGGAGGTTTACAAGGCTGGAGAGGAATTACAAAGGCATGTAGTGACAGGACAAGGGGAAATGGCTCCAAACCAGGAGTAGGGTTAGGTTAGATATTATGGGAAGAAATTTTTTACTCTGAGGGTGGTGAGGCACTGGAACAGGTTGCCCAGAAAAGTTGTTGACAACCCATCCCTGGAAGTGTTCAAGGCCAGGTTGGATGAGGCTCTGAGCAACCTGGTCTAGTGAAAAGTGTCCCTCCCTATGGCAGGTAGGTTGGAACTAGATGATCTTCACAGTCCCTTTCAACCCAAAACCATTCTATGAGTCTATTGACACTGACAGTGTACTACAGGATTATATTTTTTAGTCAAAACTCTAAATTAAGGATAATTCTGAAATAATCTTGGCCATTGACATATAAGCACAGCTTAAGGCAAACTATATTATGGCAGCCAAAACACGAAGACGGTGTTTAGATAAAACCAAGTGAAAAGATGAACGGCAACTTTACTCTTCCTGAGTTCCCCACCTTTTACTTTTGCCCTTCTGAAGGTATTACCCAAGCAGTTGATTACAGGACTAATTTCAAAATTCAGTCTGAAATAGAAACTAAGTCTTTTGCTCCAAGTATATGACTTAAGTATCTTCATTTAAATATTCCACTTTAAAAGCTGAGCCATGTAAGTATACTTGAGGTGACGGCCTGAAGAATAATTCCATCTGAACCAGCCCTAGAGTACACTATAGCCTCTTATTAAGAACTGAAATTAAAGCAAGGGCTAATACTGTCAATACATGTGAAATATTTCCTAGTATGCCTGCAGAGGCTACTTGGCCTTGTCACTAACTGCTGTACCTAAGTTGTGTGGTTGCAATCTGTGACTTACAGGAGTACCTGAAGCACATTAATGTTATAGGCCCTTCCTGACTGAGGAAAACCCGTGTCTCAGACAGTATTCACAAAAACCTCCAACTAATAATCAAAGCCTGGTACTTATCCAATATTCTGATAAGAGTAGCAGTGGGGTAATATTAATAATCAACCTACCCCCCGAGAGAACAACTTACAGTTAAATATATTACAAACTGAGTTTAACATATCAAAAGTTGAGAAATACCCCGCTTCAAAAGAGTCACAGCCTATCAGTATAAAGGAAGAATATAAAACTATTTTATTGACCACTGCTCACCAGTATTTACAATAAAGTAAACAATATACAGTCTGATAACATTCAAATTACTACAAAGTTAGTTTTCACCTGGTCTTCTTAAGACCAAGTGATCCCAAATACTAAAAAGAATGACCTTACAGGTTTAAAGGGCTAGGTTTGGGTAAAGAAGATACATGCACATCAATAGTATAGAAGACTACAAAACATCTGTGAGTTTGTTTAGACATTCATTATGATTCTGTAATAACTAAGGAAGTTTATCAATGTTTTATAAAAGCTTTTACCTAATATGGAGGAAGTAGTAGTATCAAATGCTCTCTTGTGGTAAATGAAACAAGTTGCAGAAAGCTTTTATTTACTTGCTGTTGATGCAAAACATACTACTTCAAAAAAATATCAAATTTGAAACTTGTTAGAATGTATGCTTCTCACATTGCTAATAAATCAAATTTGGGGTTTTAATATTCTTATATATAAAAAAAGCAATGCAAACAATTATTGTGCTTCATCTTCTGGGCATGAATGCCAAGTTAGCCGTTCTTCATAAAAAGCGATTACGATCTGAGGACACTTCACATTAGCTTCTTTGGCCAGCACCAGATCTGCCTCATCAGAGTCTTTCCTGATGTAGAAGAGAGTAGGATTTGAGAAAATTAATAATCAGTATTTCAAAACATTTAGCAGCTCTTCTTAAGCCCTAAGTTCTGAAAAGAATGTCAGCTAGAAATCAGTTTCCAGTACACCTTTCACTAAAGCTACCAAGACTTTCCATGCTAATGGTAATGATGAGGTTTCATAGCTCAATTTTTCTTCCCTTCCCATGTTTTTTCTGTTTGAAAGGAAAATGCTACTCAAAGGCAATCAGTTACAAGGTTACGTACTGAAGCATGTAATGAAAGAAGTAAAACTCAGTTACTTTTGTCTTTTAAAGACTAATCAAAACTTCAAAGTAAGACATAAAAATCAATACAACCAACCAATCTTAAAAGCTGGTACTTACATGTAAATTACATTTACTGTTTCTGCAAGTAACTTCCTATATTTCATACTGTTATTCTTGATGCTGTCTTGGGCTAACAAACCAAGCTTGCCAGTCTGACATGACTTCACTTTGCTTTGAAGTGTATGCTGCCTTTAAAAGTCAGCTTTGTGCATACAAACTCATATTTATGTTTGTTACCTAAGACCAATTATGAAAAACTAACCAACAGCAACTGAACTAAACAAAAAAAAAAAGTCCTCTGTGTTTGATATTGCCAATTATCACTACAGAAATTCAAACACTCATGATCTTTATTTTGCAACTTTTCTAAGTTTCACATAAAACTTGTGGAGAATTTGAGACTGCAGAAGGGAGACAATCTCCCACAGCACTAATCTTCAGCAGTCTAGTTAAATTGCAGGACAAATTGTGTCTCAGAGATCACTCAGACTCCATTCTGAAAATCTGCCCTTCTCAAAGGCTGTGGAAAGCCATCCTTCTTATCCCATTACCTTAAGAAATCTGACTCTTAGCAAATATCAATTCAATCTCTTGATTTCTCAGCACTGGGAAGAAACATTAATTTTACCCCATTTGTTCACAAAGCAAGAAATCCTTCTCCCAACACTGCAGCTAATGAAGCTGGGTCTCCCCACCTACCCTCCCAACAACACAAACCCCCCACACCACTCTCGTCTCTTACTAGCCCACAATGTCAAGCCTCTACATATTGTTTATTCGTCTCCACCTCTGCTTTCTCCCCTAGTTGCTTCCAATTCCACCTTGATGCATACAGAACAGCTGGCACTATGCTTGGTTAAACAGCTGGCTATCCAGCAGCTGGGTTCTGCTTATTGAAACATGTAAAGCTGAATTTCTGCCTGCCATTCCCTCTGCAAGAGCATTACCAAGATCCAGTTTTTTCCATACAAATGCCAATTTCTCCCTACTTTATCATAAATTACCTTTCAAAGTAAAACTGAACCAATAGAAATGAAAGATATTTTGGGTTTTGAAAGAAGAGGGATTAAATCCTAACTGAATACAGAAAGCTTGTTTTTTGGAGAACAAAAGGTTAATAAGGAGACCACCAGCTTCTATGTCTTGCTCCTCAGATGAAGTTGTTTCTTTAGGCTAAGTGCAGCTGCCTGCCCTCCCTTTATGGACAAGAACTGAGGATATAATACTTACCATTTCATGAGGAACATAAGCTCTCCACTGCTATCCGTAGCCCCAATTATCCGCTCAGGATCAAGACCCCTTGCAAACCCTCTTGGTTTATCAACCTAGTAAGTTAGAAGATGGTTATCTAGTTTAAGACAAAATTCTATTTTGGTACTAGATACACAGATTTTTGTACATACATGCATGTGTGTGTTTGTGTATCAGAACAAAAAAATACAGCCTTAAAACCCCATCAAATCTATAATTACACAGTATTTTTTCATGACCAATCTTCAGGCCAAGTAATTTAGAGATAGGATAATAAGAAAATATTTTATATCCATGCTTCCAGCATTTATTTCTGAAAATATAATAGATGAAACAAATGGTCTAAAATAATTTCAGTAGATAGACACACAAGCATGGTCAGTAAAAATAACAAAAGCAGCAAAGTAAAAATGCATGCCTGGAAGTGGACAAAACACATCCTTTCCAGCAAAACAACAGGCTTGGGTTGGCTAAACCAACAATGAAACTGCACCCTTGGGGAACACCTCAACTCTTCTTGGCTCACTGACATCACACTGGTGACAAAAAATATCACAACTATTTCCTGTATTAGCTCCTTTATAGGTTCACAAGATGCTTTTAGAGACAGCGGCCACTATTGTACCCGATGAAGCCGAAGAACTGACTCTATACAAAAAGCAAAATATTCTTTGTATTATTCATGAACTATTCTTTCTGATGCTTTCCAACCTTTTTGACAGTAACCACATGTCCAACTGCGTGCCATCTTCAGTACATGAAAATGATCGGCAGTGTCAGGTTTCAAACCGCTAGTCCAAAAGTTTACGGAAGAAAATGTGAACTGTTGAACACATTACTGCTGTGCATTATTCTGTACTTATCAGCACTGAATGTGTCAAGTTGCCTACACATTTAAACTGAAGGAGAAATCCAGACCTCTCAGGAAAGAAAAGCTTTTTGCACTCCCCCCTTCTACTCCTTCTCCACCATTATGCCTGCTTCTAGTCTAAGTAACTGATTGGCTTTCACATTTTGCCATCTTGCCACGCACATTTAGTATATGATTCAAAATCATATACTAAATATGGCAGCAAACCAGAACTTCATCTTTGTTCCTTCACGGACCTTTTGCTCTAATATAAACCTATCACTTAATACCATAAATTAATAACTCTTAACCAGTCTTACTTTCAATTATTCAGTAAGTGTTGTGGGACAATGTAAGAACTTTTAATCATCATGTCAGTCAATCATCCTTTACTAACCATTTGGACAGTCTCTAACCATAATGAATGTGTACCCTTTTCAAACCACAGATCCAGATGCTATGAAATTTTTACAGTTTTAAATCAGTGTTCAGTCTCATTCTCAAAGTCACAATATGATTTTTGGGGGATGGAGAGGTAGGAGAGAGATAGATGAAACAAAAACTTAACACATGAACATATACTTACAGAATCACGCTTTTTCTTTGATTTACTATCATCAGATTCGCTATCTGACAAAGATTTTCTTTTGGCACCATCTGTTTTTTCTTTACCAGCTTTCTGAGAGTTCAGAAAAGCTTCAATTAGCTCTGGACAATCTAAGTTCTCTTCAGGTTCCCATGTGTTGTCAGCACTGAAACATACACACATTTATGTAAAACTAGGTAAAGAAGTAAAATGTAAAACTAGCCCCATGGCTCCCCTTAAAAAAAGCAATTTAATTTTTGTCTCACTATATAAGGTAGGTCTGTTAAACCCTATGGATGTTTATCTTGCCACCTTTAGTAGCCTTCATGTACTGCATTTGATGACTGAAAGGATGCTCCACTAGTATTGAAAAACAACATTCTTAACCTGAAGGTAACACAAAAAGCAGCGCTATTAACACCTGTGTTCTCAGTGGGGTATGAGAGTTGAAACGAGCAATCTGCACCCTACCAAAATTTAACTATTTCAACTGACTCACTTCCCTGGTTCCTCTAAAGACTGTTCATGAAAACAAACAATATGCTATAGTACTAAGACTTACAGACAACAGAGTGTACAGAGCAGTCATTACAAACAGCCTAAGTATAAATACATACATACATATATAGATATATATATAAGCTTTCAGACATGAGGAACACTCTAAAGTTGTCTCTGAGCACTGAACACAACTATACCTAGAACTATCTGCTTCCTTCAGTTGACTGACTGCAGAAGGGAACAAAGGTGGGCAGAGCTGAGCACGGCATATGTTTCAGTGAGTATGCATTTTGCTAACTGGAATTTTAAGAAGAACGTTCCCCACAACCGCTATGCATCTCACGTGCAAATACTGGCACAGCACTACGGCACCAGCAGGATACCTACAAATTATTTTCCATTACAATAACATATCATTACAAGTTCAAATCAGACCCTCAAATACTAAACACATTGTGCTTTGCATTTGTGCACACATCACTACACACACTTCAGGTTGCCAGAGTGCACAGTGTTGCAATGCACTCACTTTAGGAGGTATGCAACAATAATATCACAGCATACATAACCATTTATGCACAAATTCTTCTTTCAGCTGATAAAGCAAGCTGCCACAGAGTGTCACAGGAAGGAGGCACAACTATATTCCTTCTTAAACAACCACCTTCTTAAATCTACTACATATTTTTCATGTACATAGGTAAGTCCTGGGAAAGACACTCAAAAATTCCTTTCAAGTATGCTTAATGAAGGCCACCATTCCACAGGCAAATTCAGTTAATTTGAGAACAGTTCAGGAAAATTAATAATAAGCAAAATATCTGCTTCAGAGCTGCCTGCAGTTCGCATTCCTGCATGATTTATTACTCAGAAGTACCATTCATTCTGTCACATATATGATAACTGTCAGTCTATCTTACCTTGATAGCTATGGACACAAGCTCTACCAGAGTGGTAAAAGAACAACTGTTGGGAATTTTCTATGTGTGGAGATATGAGGTTTGATTTTATGTTTCTCAGAAGGCTGATTTATTATCTTATTTTATATATTATATTAAAATACTACATTAAAACTATAATAAAAGAGAAAAAAGAATTATTAAAAAGTTACAAAAACCAAAAATGAAATACATAACAAAATCTTGTAATTCTCAGAGTCTGATGCAGCTGCATCTGTGATTGGCTCTTAATTAGAAACAACTAACATGCACCAATCACAGATGTACCTGTTAAATTCCACAGCAGCAGACAGTTATTGTTTACATTTCTTTCCTGAGGCCCTCAGCTCTCAGGAGGGAAAAATCTTAACAAAGGATTTTTCATAAAATATCATAGTAACAATCAATCACTAAGAACTTGGTCAAAGTCCTCAAATATTTTATATAGCATGAACAACAAACTACATTATCTTCTATTTTATTTTCATACTCGACTGTCCCACTTGACTATGCATTTAAGGATGTCCTTCCCTCAAGGTTCTTTGAAGTGGATGCCCATCATCCAATCTCCTGGCACAGTTCAAATCAATGGTGTTTATCATTCTATCAGAAAAAGAAAAACAAGAAAAAAAGGAGTGCCTTACTCTGTAAATCCTTTCCACTTCAAGTAGTATTCCACCTTTCCATTCACAACACGTCTGTCCAGGACTTTCTCCACAACAAATTCTTCAGGCTCTGCCTCTTCAACTTTTTTACCTTTGCCATTCTGTTTCTTTCCCATTTTGTGCTACAAAAAAAATTCAGAATGACATTATTCTTTTTTTTTTTCCTTTGCTTTACACAGTTACTTCACTGGCTTATTAACAATAAAGCCAGAAGCTCAGACTCCTTTCATGTTAGTGCATGTGGTCAGGTAACCTGAGCAAGACATGGTAATCTTTTGGGTTTTTTTCAGTTGCTTAATGAGATACCCAACACCAGTTTTTAAAAAGGTGAAATTTTTTTTGTCTACATACTCAGTGACTATACTCCCCTTAAAAATTTAATTCTCAGTGCTACATGCTCAAAACATCAGGAAGCTTCTAAAAGTTAACTCTATGCCTGTAAAAAGGCAGAGGGCAAGGCAGAAGTAAAGAGAAGTAATAAGGAAACTGTGAAAATGCATAAAATAGAGAAGGGATGGTATTGAAAAAAGGTGGCTTCTATCTTTCCCAAAAAAAAACTAAGGAGAAACTGATGGCAGCAAAGTTTATGATGAAATTCTACAATAAGTAAAATACTCAATAATAACCCGCAACTATTGAACAGGACACATGCTAGGAGCATTCCATTACTGCAGTCCCTTCTAATTCTTAGCCATGCACCCATGTAACTTACAAAGAGATGTCACAAAGGTGCATAAATCTAAGACTGCTACACTTAAATACAGCACTTAACACATAAATGGAATTTTGCTAACTTACAAAACTTTTTAAGTGTTTTAAAGCTTACATTTGATAGTTCAGGTAATATTCTTTAAGTTCTTAAAATAAATATTACATCCACATCATCCTCAAGGCATTCCCAGTTTAATAAGGCACAATTAAATAACAGTAGAAGGACACATTTCAGAATTTCCTTGTTTGCAATCTTAAAAAAGTTGGAACAAGCCTATCATGCTGTATCACAGCTCAGGAGGACTAGCAGACCAAAAGCAGTTTGCTTGCCATTTTGGACTGCACCTCATAAAGAAACTGTTAAGTGGCAGCCATAAACTAAGTATTAAACTCCTAAGAGTTATGCACACCCTAAATCAAAGTGGACAGAACTAATTCCTCACTAAAGCACTTCCTCTACAACACAGACAAGCAAATACCACAAAGCACCTCTATTTGCCTGATAGCCATTCGCTAGTCCTCTCTAATGTGGGTTAGTTTGACAACACTGCAATTTTGAAATTTTCAAGCTTTTAGACTTGATAGAATTTTGTCTTGATGCGGTGAAAGGTAAAAAAAAAAAAGTATGTTAGAACAAAAACTGTATTCTTTTAGCGAAGACTGGAAGATGGTTCTCTTGCCAAAGCCCTGTCTTTGTACCCCTTATTTTTCATAATTAATTTTTCCCTCCCTCCCCAAAATACTTTACTCTTTATGGTTAGCAACCCATACTCTTTATGGTTAGCAACCCATAAATTGAGGGTTCAAACAGCAAAGAGGAGAAAAAGTTTCTAGTTTCTCATTTAAACAGAAAGTTTCTGTATATATCTCACATGGCCATAGTTTTGATTTGAGAGCATAGAAGAGAACAGAGCATGTATTTCCAATTAGATTTTAGGTGCCTGCATATCCCAGGTGTATTTTGACCACAGCATTCATGTCTGAAAAGTGTTAACTTAAGCATATTGGCTTTTTTTGCCTCCACAGGAAAAAGAATGCAAGACTGATATTGAAGGGAAATACAACATGAAGATGTCCAAGGCTTCTATGAGGGCAGCTTCTTTCAAAAATGGAAGTGTGAAATAGAAAGGGGTAAATATGAGGAAAAAAACCAAATAATAAAAGTAGCAGAGGGAAAAACGACAACACAGAAAAAGACAGACTCACTATACCATAGTAATAACATTATAATTACTGGTGATGAGGCAAGCAGGCTACAAGTGGGGAACATCTCCATCTGTATTCTCCGTTGGACTAAAATTCTTTGATTCAGTGGAAGACTGTTTTCTGGTACTCTTTTCGGCTTCACTAATTCTTGTCACTTAAAGATCAATGTTTTGGATTTCTGTATCAAAGCAACAATTTGGTTTTTTACTTTCTAAAATTTAAGTATCTTAAGTATCTTCCACAGAGGAAAATAAATGTCATAGGGGTCTGTATTTTTTTCTTGAAGTGCAGTAAGAAATAGCACAATAAAGAGTATGCTGCTTCTGTTTTAAATATTAGAGATTTATTAGGTCTTGTGCATCAGCACTGCTCTTCAAACTCTTGAGCCTATTAAAATAACACTTGATTGCAGAGCCTGCAGAAATACTGAACATGTTAAAAACCTGTACATTCTGGGATTATACAAGCCCATGCAAATCTCAGCCCACAAGGGAATTGGGACAGCTGACTGAACTTAAAGCATAATAAATGTCCACTTGACCCCTGAAGCTCTCTTCTCTAGGGCTGCATGTTTTAAGCTGTAAATTGAACATCTGACCATTGAAAGCTAATGTATAGCTTGTTTCTCTTTCTGCATTCAGAAGTCATATGACACCACAAATGACAGATGCAGATCTATGGATCATGTCTCCTTTGAGGGGCAAGCTTAAAACACTGATGTGACACTGTGGTGTAGCATTTTAACATGTGAGATATAAGAAAATGGGAATTACAGCGCTAGAGCTACTCTATCCCTTAACACATTTAGGTTTTGCATGCAAATATATAATGAAGCAGAATTAGTTATGGTTCCCATGGGAACCATAACTGATTTTCCTGACCTGTGCAGCAAAATCCTCAACAACATCAAAAGATTAAAAATACTGCATTCGTAAGATTTTTTTCCTCTCTCCAAAGTACCCCTCCCCAGGCTGGCTAACTTCTCTTCTTCAAATTAGGGATAAGTGGACAATCAATTACTAACAGAAAGTTTAGACATTCACTTTGGTGAAATATTTTAAACCAGTACAACACAGAGGAAGCACTCCATTGCACTTCTAAGCCAGGAGTTAATACAAGTTTTGAATATATTTTGAGCTGAGTAATCATTTCTGTAAATTTACAGAACAGGCTTTTTGAGTGTATTATAAGCCAGCTGTTCTGCTACTGAAGTTTTGAATTGTGTGCATGTATTTTTTTGCTTACTTCCCCACCTCAACCTCAGGCACGTCTCACATTATACTTCTACAGGTCTGTCTTTTATGAAACTATGTATCATTATTAGTTGAACTGTAACCAGCAACCAACTGCCCTTAGGAGTCCATATTTTAATGTCAAGCAAAGCTTTAGAGGACTTGAGATCCATGAATGCATCATTAAAATGGTCCAGGAGGGGTTGACATCTGATAATCTCTGCTCCTATGAAATTCAAAGAAACTGTTATTTGTTAAAAAGCATTTCAAAAGGCATCTTAATTATGCCACATCATTTCTCAATAACGTTACTTTTCATCTGTAAAGACTGCCTTTTGTCAGGCAAATAGTTTTCTCCAAATACACTGGGAGAAATTAAATGAGTACATGATCTGGACTTTGTTTTTTACATGTATGATGAATTACATGGTATGCTGAAAGGACACTAAAAAAATCCTCAGTGTTTTCTATTGTAGAATAGATGAAATAGTGCAGAGTCCTTTCACACTCTTTTCTCAAAAAGTTTCTCTTTAGAAATGGCAGATTTATTAAAACCAAAGACAATGTCCTTTCTAGTAGCCTTACTTTCTGGATCTGAAATTTTGGTCAGAATAATGCTGGGGAGGGGAGATGTGGATGTATCTTTTAAATGGAGATGCCAAGTTATAAGTTTGAAGAAAAATATGTTGATTAAATCCTTATATACTTTAGGTGTGCATGAACTTACCAATGTAGTTTTATTGGAGGCCATTTTTATTGCAGACTTGCAGAGCTTTTACTAGAAAAATGCATGACAATTAAAAGGAAGTTTGCATTACTCAAAGAAAGGCATCCCAAGACAAGCATGGTCCTTGTTCCAACCCCCATGTATTCACTGCATACAACATTTCTTACACGGATTAAATCCAGAACAAAAAGTAGGTTACTACTTTGTCTGGCTTAACCCAGTAATGCACCATTAGGCTAGCCAGGATAAATGATACTGACAAGGTGGTATATCGAAGGCCCAAGGCCTTCAAAAGCATAGACATGTTTCTAGGGAAAAGGGGGAGGACCATCAGGGATGCTAATTTCCTTGAACCAAATAGAACAAGAGTTCAGATTCTAGCAATTGAAGATATACCTAAGTTATATTAACTGCAAATATCCGATGGAGAACAGATCTGTGGTGCAATGAATCACCCATTATTCTTACATGGTAGCAAATTCTTATAAACAGCAAATATTTATCTTAATGCAACTATAACGTTGCCTTCTGAGTCTCAGGTTGGCAAGAGTTAAGGTCCTAGAACAATATTAACTCAGCTAAGATGCACATACTACATATTTAACCTATGCACATTACGTTGAACACAATCCATCCCCTTTTCCATGTCATTTCTCATACCGACCAGCTCCATAGGCATGTATTGTCACCGCCCCGCAGCGAGCTATAGAAATGCTAGAATTCCCCATATGCCTGGGTAAAGCAGAAAAGTCCTTTGAGGCCAGAAAGCCTCCCGGACTCAGCAATCCCGCCCAATCCTCCCCTGACACGGGAGGTGGATTTTGGCAGTCCCATGGGCGGTAGGGTAGGCGAGGTGGGAGAAGGGCCGGGGCCAGGGCGCCAGTGCCGAAGGTCTTGCCTTGTGTCCCCCGGAGAGGTAGCAGAAAGGGGTAAAAAAAAAATCCCCAAAACCCAGTAATAACCCGCCCACCCCAAAAGAGAGGCAGCCCTGCGGAGGCCTGCTGGGGGCGGCTGCGCCTCGGGCCTGCGGCGGGCGCACATGAGGCCGGCGGGGCCGCCCCGGGCGAGGTAACGGGGACGCAGGCCCCGGGCCGCTTCCGCCGCCGCTGACAGGGCCCCTTCCACGCCGTCTTCCCCCCGCCCCTTCACGTTTCCCCCGGGCCTGGCACACGCAGGGACCGCCGGCGGGCCGGCTTTGTCTGCCGCGCGGGTAGCGCTGCCCCCGCCCCCGGCGCTGCTCTCCTTCCCCAGGGCGACAGCGCCCGCGGGTCCGGGAGCCGGCCTCCGTCCCTCCCCGAGCGGGTGCCGAAGCCCCGATTCCCCTACAGCTCCGCTCCGCCCGCCACCCCCCACCGCCAAGGAAGCGGGGGTGGGGAAGAAGCGGCGGTGGGGGGAGGCGGGCGGGTTGCGCTCCGCATCTCCCCGCGGCGGCCCGCAGCGAGCCGCAGAGGAAAGGGGAGTCAGGGAAGGGGACTCGAGGGTGAGTGGGGTGAAAGGAGGCGGCTGCAGCGAGAGAAAAGAGGGAGAGAGAGAGAGAGAAGGATACAGACTTCAATGGTGCCCAGCCGCTTGGCTCTCCTGTCTCCTCCTGGCTCCCGCCCTGCGCGCACTGAGCGGCGGCGGCAGCAGCAACAGCGACATCCGCGGGGGGCTGAGGCGGGGGGTGGGGGCAGGGAGGGAGAGAGAGAGGGAGGGCGGGGAGCGGCGCGGCGGTGGCTGGCGGGGCTGGGCTGGGCGAGCACTGCGCGCCGGCGGCTGTGACGGGGCAGAGCGCACGACGCCGCCGCCGCCTACGCGCGAGCCGCTACAACCTCCGACCGTCGTCGCCGCCGGCACAGGAGGGGGGCCAAGACGTCTCTCCAACGCGGGGCGAGCGCAGGACCGCGCCAGGCGTCCAAAAGAAGGAAGATGCCTCGCGGCGACAGGGAAAGCGACTGGGTAAGCCTCGGGGAGCGGACGGGGTTGGCAGACCCCGGGAGCCACGGCCGCCATCATGGCCGCCGCTGCGAATGCGCGCCGGGCCGATGCTGCCCGCCGCTGCGGAGCGAGGCCCTCGATCGGTGCGGCCGGGCGGGCCCCGGGCGTGGAGAGGGCGGTCGAGGAGCGCTGGTGTGGGTTTGATGCTCATTTGGAGGGGCCCCCTTGAAGCGCGGCCATTTCCCGCGTTGCGGCGGGGAGGCCTGGGCGTGAGCAAGGGCCGGGGGGAGGGAAGCGGGCTCGGAAAGCAGCGGGGCTCTGGGGCCCGAGAACTCATTCATAAGTGGGAAAAGGGATTGGGGGAGTCGGCTGGGGAGGCTTCGCTGCGGGCGGGAGATCCGCGGCTGGATCCGCGGTGAAGCTGAAAGGGAGGGGGAGCAGAGGGGGCGGGAAGAAAGGAGCTGCTCCAGCGCCATTTCTTTGGCGCGCGGGGCGGCAGCACTCACCCTTTGTCGCGGTGCGTGTACGGCCGCCGGAGAGGGAAAAAGGGAGGGGATGAAGGAGGGGAGGAGAACACAGCGGCGGAGCGGGCGGCACGCCCGATGCCGACGGTGCGGGGTAGAACGGAGCGGGCTGCGGTGAAGTCCGCCTCCCTCCGCCGGGACCCCGCGGTATGTCGCACTTGTGCCAAAATCTGTGTAGCTCTTACTTCCTCCTGCCTGGGCGGGGGGGGAAGGGGGCCAGGGCGAGGTTTCGGGGGGCGATGCGCGCCCGCCCCCGACAAATATTAACGCCGAGGTTTGAGCCTTCGGGGCCTTTTGTCAGTTTCCGGAAAAAAACCAAAAACAAGTTAAACGATGCCAGCAGCGTTCGAGGCCGCTTCGGCTGCGCTCGGGCACGTCTCGCGAGCCTGTCGGTTGTCGGAAACTGCCGAGCTGGCTGAACTAGCCGATGAGTTGCTGCGTCTTTCTGTCCGGAAATTGCCGAGCTGGCGCCGAGCGCCATTTTCGCGTGCTGCGGCAGATTCCGGAAATTACCGAAGCGAGTCGAATGGGCTTCCATTCCTGGTTCGGCTTTTTCCGGCGGCTGTCGAAGCAGATAAGCTCGACGACGACAGCTCCTTCGGCTCATTTCGGAGACGGCCATTACTAACGGAGTCGATGACTTTTCATTACACGATAAAAACACGTAGGGGCTTTATTCGGAACTGCAGCCCCTTTGGAGATATTTAAGCTCCAGATCCTGGCTCTTTTTTCCCTTTTTTTTATTTTTTTTTTTAATTAATTAAATCTCGGAAGCGAGCCCGAGGTGGAGTAGGAGGGCGCTAACACTACGCGAAGCTGAATTTCAAATTACGTAACAGCTCAGGCAGCCATTACCGATCGGTTGTACGGTGCTCTCGAGCAGGAATACATAAACCATGAAGAACATGGTACGTGGAATGGGAAGATTTAGAGCTTGCTTTTAAGGAGGGAGATGCGTTTGCTTGTGCAGACAGAGTGAATTTTTTCGGGGCTGAAAGTTACAAGCAAGCTTGAGTTGTCCGCGCAAGTCTGGGTGCTGCTGCCGGGTCGCAGCGCGGGGCGGATGCTGGATGTTTTTGCGCAGAGGAAGGTTCTGGAAGTGGCGACTGGGGCTGGCGCGCAGCCGGGCGAAGCGGCGGAAGCTGCGGCAGCGGCGCGTGGCGGACAGCGCGTTCTTGAGCCCGTGGCCATGGCTATTAGCAGCGCTGCTGCTGAGGTGTCGCAGGAGGAGGGGGAGTCGGAGCTCCGCGGGCTGGGGGCCGTCTTGGCCCCGCGAGGCGCGGAGGGGCCGAGGCGGCGCTGCGGGTAATGGCGGTGGCGAGGGGGAGGGGTAAAATGGCGGCCTGGCCGAGACTCGCGGCTGCGAGGGGCAGTGGGGATCCCTCCGGCAGAGCGGGCGAGGCGGGGGCTAGGTGTAGCCATTTGATATGCATGGGGGCGAGAAGGAGCGCCGGAGAGCTGTTAGTACCGTGTGTGTAGGTGCACGCTAGAAGCGTTCGCAGCGTTCTCCCTGGAGGCGGCGGCTGCTCCCGGGCGCCATTTTCCCCGCCCGGCTCGGAGCTGCGGTGTTCCCGCTGCCGCCACATGGCGGGGCCGGCGCGGCAGCTGCGTCCCGGCGGCCACAGGCGGCGGGCGAGCTGCCGCTGAGGCATTGCAGAGCCCTGGAGTTCAGGGATCCCCCTCACTCGTCTCCCTTAAACGTTTCTGTTAGCCGAATTCTTAATTCCGCAGTAGCGTGGGTTGTGTGTGTGCACGTTGCTGCTATATTAAACACCTTTCCTTGCTCTGGTGATGAATTTTTCAGTAAAGGCTATGCGTTTTCCAGTGCTTTCAATTTGCTCTAAGCCTGTGAAGGAAAGCTTAAAATAACACACGGATGAATGAAGATCCTACAGAGGTAAAAAATTTCCTCTGGCTCCTGGTTCCTGCCACGGGATGTACTGTGGAAATCGTGAAAGAGGTGTTACCTCCAGCTTTTATATTGTGGCCTTTCCTAGGTATGAGGTGTCTTTACCAAAAGAGTATTTTCCTCAGGATTCTAAGAGGTACTGGCATGGTGGTAGTTACTGTTGTACGTTTTATGCTTCCAGCACAAACTTTAGATGGGCAGAACTCCCTGGACTTTGGTAGGAGATTAGTGTTACACCAGCCAGAGCTTCTTGAAAGCGGCTCATTTAAGACAGATAGTTTCTCTGCATTAGTGGAGCAGCGTGTGTGCGCTGTTTTCGCACACTTGTTTTCATTAAAGAACTGGTAATGAATTTTGTTACTGCTGTTTTCTGACGTGTGGTGCCTAGATGTTCTAGGTAGATCATGACCCTTAATACAGCTGTAAAATGCTTTACTATTCTGATCAATGTCTGTTAGTTATATGTAGTATATTTTCGTAATTGTTACAGCTGATAGATTCCATTCTTTCCTTGAGTTCCATTTACAGGTTTATAGCTGTTTTCACGGGTGAACGTAACACTGAAAATATCCTATCTGCCTACTAAACTTTCTTAATTTTCATGTTTTTATAATAATGTCCTTTATTAAATGCATGGTAATTTATTATATAGGAAAAAGTTTCTTTTGTAGATCTATGAAACTGTAAGCAGGTGGTCCTAATTCTCAAGCACCAGAAATGAAGGGAGGATTTTTACTTTTGCAGGATGGCTTAAAATTTTTTGTTCACCCTCCTACTCAAATTTAATTCAATAATAGTGTGACATATGGTGAATATATGATGTTTTTTAATACTGGTCTGGTGTGCAGTGTTCTTTCATTTGTTCCTTTCATGCTATGAGGTGAAAAGAAATTAGTTAAAACACGTGTGTGCTACTTTTGAACACTTGTCTTATTTTGCCTGTGTCTGAGACAATACTAGTTTTACTTGTGTTCCTAAAAGGAAAAGAACTAGATTCAACAGCAGATTCCAAATATTTTTGAAGAGAAATTTGAACTGATCAGTCTTAAATAAGAGATGTGTTTGGAAGAAGGATGGGAGAAAGTTGACTTGCGTGTCAGACTGCAGTATGTCAGGCTGGTAATACAGAGGCGTATTTGAAAAAAACCCTGGGTTGTCACTGCCTACAGTAATTGTGTTCTGTACTATGCATCTTGATCTGGGCCTGCCTTGGACAACCTCAGAAAATATGTTGGTCTGCATTAAAATTGGCTTAATGCTTCCAAAAGCATATGTGCACTGAAGTATTTTGCTTGTTTTCTTAGTCTCGGTGTTTTTTTAGTTTTCTTTTAAAATTTTTCTTAATTCCCACTTGCACAGTTAATCATGTTTTGTTTGTCAGTTACACCTCCTGGTGCAGTATTTGAATTGTATAAAAAATAACCAGCACACTAAAGAAAACACACAACCAAACACTCACTCAAGCAGATTTTCTTGATTTGTAAAGTTAGTTAACAGTATAAAGCTGAAGTGATTTGGTCTCAGTTCTCATGTCCCTAGCAGAACAGTTGTCTTCAAAACAACATTTCAAAAGAATAAATGTGTGTAAGGGGACTACTTGTTAGTGCACTTCTAAGTGTTTGGCATGAAATTTTTGCATGTATGAGCTAGTGATACTTTTGTCTGTAGAAACTGGCAATTAAAAGGCCTGTTTTGTATAAAAAGTTACTATAAAAGCGCTTTGAGTTGGAAGGTTCTCATTTCTACTTTAGTTTACCAGTAAATACAAAAAAGTCAATGCAATACCTTGTTACTGATCCTGGTTTTTGTTGGGTTTGTTTTTATGATGCTCTTGTCATTGCATAAATGATCTCTGCTTAACAAGTGCAGTGATTGTTTCTCTGCAAGAAAGAAAAGTCTTAGTGAAAGCGTGACATTAGTGGATATGAATTATGTATTATTCACATTTCTATTTTTTAGGAATTATTTTAATGGTGCTCCTGTTGAGAGTGTATAGGTTTGTTGATAATTCCAGTGGTGTGGGATTCCAGATTAATTTTACAGATGCTTGAGTTTCATTTTAGTAATTAGGGAGAAAATAGGAATTGTTAACCTGTTACAGAACATATTTAGATATATTTAGTTGATTTTTACTTATAATGCCTTGGATGAATAGTAGTATTAATGTAAAACAGTTTAAGCCAGAATGATTTTTAGAAATGAATGTTACCCAGAATAGAATCAGACAGTGTAAATTATTTTTTTCTGTAAGAACAAATCCCAAAGTTTTCATTTTCTTTTAAAAGCATCTTCTATGGGTCTTACAGAGCAATATTCTGAAAGTCTTCAAGTGTGGTCCCTTGTTCTTGATATCTAGAGGGAGACACAGGAATAAGGACTAAAAAAATTTGTATTTTAAAAGTGGACCTGTAGAATTGTATAAATTGATTAATTTCTTTAATAGGGGTAGAACCTTTAGAAGAACCAGGTCTCGTTTTGAAAATAAGTCTTACTGAAAGTCTTTGACACTTACGAAAATCTTGGTTAGTGTCTGATTTGCTAGTGCAGAAGAGGTGTTTCAAATTATATGAATGTATTTTTTTTCCTGTGGCAGAGGGAAAAGGAGCAGTTCCGCAAACTGTTTATTGGTGGCTTAAGCTTTGAAACCACAGAAGAAAGCTTGAGGAGTTATTACGAGCAATGGGGAAAGCTTACAGACTGTGTGGTAAGTTCAGCATACCAATACATAGCAATGGCATGTGTAGGATTTTTAAATGTTTGTTTTCTGCATAGCTTAGAGATGATGGAATATTAGCTTTTAATGGTACTGTTGGTGGTTTATACACAGTTCAGTCCATTGTAGCAATGCATAAATTTTATTCTTGCAAACTTGATAGAGAAAATTCACAATCTGTTTTCTGTAAAATTCTCCCAGATAATTAAAAAAATTAACCACTGATTTCAACAGTTCAGCTTTAGTATCATTGTCTCAAGTGCATTAGGAAGAGCTTTCAGAGAGCACTATTACATCTGGGTGGTTGGTAAGCAGTAAGCAGCCTCAGTAAAGCTGGAAAAGGATGTCTTTGTGATGTTTTCATAGAGTTGTTGAGGTTGGAAGAAACCATTTAGGTCATCAACTGTTTAATCAAGCACTGACAAATTTATCACTAAACCATGTCTGTAAGCCCCGAGTTTGTGTGTCTTAAATACCAAAAGGGATGATTGCTATGGTAGAAGTTCTCTGCTGAATATTCCTGGGAGTAGTAAATCTCAATACAGATTTCAAGTCTTTGGTCTTCATGAAGCTTAAAAGAAATTGTGTATGGGTTTTTTTTTGCAAAAACCAACACAAATATAAATGCATGTCACTGATCTAGCAGCATTTCTGAGTTAACTGAGTCTTGGAAGACAACAGTGGTTTGAATTTCTTTGATCCCAAGCAGTGTCACTCATATTAAATCAACAGTCTGCTACTTTATTGTAGCTGTTTTGAAATCAAACCAAGGAAAAAGTATATTAAGCTTACACACTTAATATTGTTTTTGCAAAAAGCTTAACATGAGACAGGTATAAATAGTTTAAATGTCTTTATTGGTTTTAGGTAATGAGGGATCCTGCAAGCAAAAGATCAAGGGGGTTTGGTTTTGTAACATTCTCTTCCATGGCTGAAGTTGATGCAGCTATGGCTGCAAGACCTCACACGATTGATGGAAGGGTGGTTGAGCCTAAGAGAGCTGTGGCTAGAGAGGTAAGTATGGCTTTGAAAGCAGATGCTTCTCGTGCTTTGAAAAATGCCTGTTTGATCAGACAGACTTTGTTCGTGTTCGAAATTGCCTGGGTTTAAATTACCTGGTTCAAAGCCCATAGTTGAGGCACTATTTCCCACACTTTTGGTCTCTTTTATACAAATGTCTATTATTAAGTGAATTATGTTATTCTGGTTTTGGAATCATGATCTCTGCAAGGGACACATATAGGGTCTGAAATGGTTGTAGCAGTCGTGTTATGTTGAATATCTGTAATTATGCAAATTCCAAAGTAACTCTTTTCTGGAATAGTCCCTGTTACAAGCCTCAAATTAATAAACTCCTGTCAGTCTTTCTGACTATTCCTAGATCTTTCTGGGGTGTTCCTAAAAGGTACATAAAACCAGAGGATGTAGCAGGGAAGCTTTTCCACTGGTGATGTACAGAATCATCTGTGGACTTGGCTGGTTTTAGCCACAGACATACTTGATTTCTACTTCAGGAGTTAGAATCAGGGATGCGTGTACATTCAGGAAGGAGGTGAACATGTAAGCCAGGTTACTGTGGCACAGAGGTACTTGAGGAGCAAGGGTGGATTATAAGGCAAGTTCCATTCACCACACAGAAGCTCTGGGAGGGTTTACCAGATTAAGGTTGGACTGATGAGCTGTCCCAAAGGTATGGGGAAATGGAAATTGTAATCACTGGTACCCCTGTTAGCTATCCCAGTTTTCTTTCCATTCTCTGCAGAATGCAGGGTTGGTTAACATTTGGAAAAAGGTAATTACAGCAGCATGTGTGTATACTGTTTAATGGGGTTAAAATGCATAGTTGTGAATTTGCTGAGGTTGAAGGGCCCTGATACAAGTGGAATGTGGAGTCACTGCTTTTGGGGAATTGGGCAGAAGAAGCTGATGCGTGTTTGTTCAAGCTATTACAAAAGTCATGCTATAAAAGGGGGAGGAAAAACCTCCAAGTAACCCTGTGTTAATTTCCTCTCAGAAGGCCCCCTAAATGAGCTTGCAAGGTCATGCTTCATAAAAGGGCTGTCCTTTAGTGCTTGAAAAATAGTAGTTTATCTGAATTCTATTCTTGAAGTACAGGTAAAACAGTGCTTTGAGAAATTGGATTTTTTTGTGCTAATATAGAATGTTCTTTTAACAGGAATCTGGAAAACCTGGTGCTCATGTTACTGTGAAAAAATTATTTGTTGGTGGTATTAAAGAGGACACTGAAGAGCACCACCTTCGTGACTACTTTGAGGAGTATGGAAAAATTGACACTATTGAAATCATTACTGACAGACAGTCTGGTAAAAAGAGAGGGTTTGGATTTGTTACATTTGATGACCATGATCCTGTGGATAAAATTGTATGTAAGTAATTTCACTCTTTCTTTGGATAGTATTAATTTTTGCAGCCTGGGATGGTTGTGTAAAGCTAAACTTACAGATAATGGAATTAGTTATGTGCCTGTACTATTTGCTACATCAGAGGTTGCTGAATAGTGTGGGAACATGTATTTGAAATAAGTGTTGCCATCCTTGTGTAAAAATCTGTGATAGTTTGTGGTTTTATATGATTCAGAATGTGTTTGATTTGGAAATCTGATATTCTGACTTGTTGCCAATTAAGTGCTGATGGCCTGTTATTTGATACGGTTACAGTGCAGAAGTACCACACCATCAATGGACATAACGCAGAAGTAAGGAAAGCTCTCTCTAGACAGGAAATGCAAGAGGTTCAAAATTCTAGGAGTGGGAGAGGAGGTAGGTACAATGGTTAATAGTTTGTGGTTGGTTTTTGTGTTCACTTTCCACAATCTCACTACTTCAAAATGTTAACCTGATACAGGGAACTTTGGTTTTGGTGATGCTCGTGGAGGTGGTGGCAACTTCGGTCCAGGACCTGGCAGCAATTTCAGAGGGGGAGCCGGTAAGACAGGCATGTTTGTAGCATTTACATTTTTTACCTTATTAATGCTGTCTTTCTGGTTCTGGATAACTTTGTATGCTGTGGTGCTGTTTAACTTAAATGCACCTGTAGCAGTTGAGAGAATTTTTTGGGAAAAGTAACTTGTAAATGAAGTTGTGTTTTGGTTTTTCTGTTTTGTTTTTGGTTTTGTGGTTGGGGGTTTTTTTAGCTTTTATTGAAAGCTAAAAGTAATGTAAACTTAATTATTTGCTAAGAAGGTCAGAGATTTCTCTGGTTCCATGCAGCATTTGCCTGGCATCTTAAAACTGAGTACCATACAAACACAAGAAAAGGAAAAACGTAGAGTGATGATTGGATGTTGAGCTTTGTTTTGCTGAAGTTAGTTGTACATATTCTTAATTGATAATTTCTGAGATTTAGTTCTTAAGGTCATAAGAGAGAGTTTGAGAATTCCACTAGTTATGTTCCATGCAGTGTTTGCCTGACATCTTAAAACTGAGTACCATACAAACACAAGAAAAGGAAAAATGTAGAGTGATGATTGGATGTTGAGCTTTGTTTTGCTGAAGTTAGTTGTACATATTCTTAATTGATAATTTCTGAGATTTAGTTCTTAAGGTCATAAGAGTTTGAGAATTCCACTAGTTTCATGCAGATAAATTGAAATCCTTTGGGTTTTTTTCTCCCAATAGATGGGTATGGAAGTGGTCGTGGATTTGGTGATGGATATAATGGATATGGCGGAGGACCTGGAGGTTAGTTTGCTGTTGTAGTGATCTGTTTTTCTCGTTAAGAAACACTTCATATTTATATCCATATGTATAAAATTTATCTGAATTGCCTGAGCAATTTTGTTTGTTTTAAGAAATGTACATGGTTGTTGACTTATGTTGAAATTCCATATGGCATATTGTGTGGTTATTTCTTGGGCAAGCATTCTTTTCTTTAGGATAAGAGTGGGTCCTGAATTTCCTGGAAAATGAAAATTTTAATTAAGCCTTTCAGTTGAGGTCTTTAGGCAGTCTGACTTTTGGGGTTTGGTCATAGTTCAGTTAGGGTGGGAGCTGGTATGTGCTTTAAAAAATACCGTCCATAGAAATTTCTTTACAAAACTACCTTTTTCTTTCTCTTTGTTCTTCTAAGCAGAACAATATTCTTTGTGTATAATTTGAGTGCATTTTATATGGAAAAGCTCATTTAAAAGGATTATGTTCTCACAGGTGGCAACTTCGGTGGCAGTCCTGGTTATGGAGGAGGAAGAGGCGGCTATGGTGGAGGAGGACCTGGTTATGGCAACCAGGGTGGGGGCTATGGAGGTGGTTATGACAACTATGGAGGAGGTAACATTTAGGCTGAGTGTTCCAGCATTTCAGTTACAAATTACTGCAAGTCATTTGAGGCTGGGGGGAGGGTTGTTTGAAAATGTTGTGTAAGGAAGCTGTTGTTTTTCAAGTAGTGTGAAATAGAACGAAAACATTGGTGCATGCACCGCTGGAATACATGTGTGATTGTGTTCTTTATTTAGAATTTTTATAATGGGGTGTCTTTGAGTATTGCATCCATCTTAGCTCATGTGGGTATTCCTCCACTTTTGTGTTGATAATACAGGCAATTATGGAAGTGGAAACTATAATGATTTTGGCAACTACAACCAACAACCTTCAAATTACGGTCCGATGAAGAGTGGAAATTTTGGTGGCAGCAGGAACATGGGGGGACCATATGGTGGAGGTATTGTATATGTCCTGTGTATTTCCTTGTAGCTGGAGTGGGTGGACTTCTAGGACTTTGGGGGAAATTGAAGAGAAGACATGGGGTAACTGTTTTGAACTAAAAAATGGTAGGCTGAGATGAGATATTAGGAAAAAATTTACTGTGAGAGTGATGGGGTGCCAGAACGGGTTGCTGAGAGGTGGTGTGAGTGCCCCATTGCGGGCAGTGTTCGAGGAGAGGTTGGAATGGGGCTTTGAGCATCCTGGTCTAGTGACAGATAGCCCTGCCCATGGCAGAGGAGTTGGGACGAGGTGACCTTGAAAGGTGCCTTCCAACCCAGGTTATTCTTCATGATTCCAAGGTGGATATGTAGGAATTGGGTAACTTCTGCAATAGATGGGCTGCAGAGCCTGTGTTCTTCTGCCAGTTTGCTTCAGTGTCTTGAGACTGTAAAGCTTGTTTCAGAAAAAAGTATTTTTATCATTTTGGAACAGATAAAGCATACTAACTTTTTCCACAGTGTTGTGTAGTTTGTAGTTTAAAGATTCTGTTTCATGTTCTTTGCTGTCAGCTCACACTATTTGTGGAGAGTCTAGTTACTTAATTTCCATCATATTTGCTGTGATTTCTTTTTATCCTCCTCTTGTGTCTTTTTTTTCTGAGACATCCTGCTTTTTGTTGTCTAAAGTTACTTAATGTGGAGTATCAGGCTTGTGAAATGGAAACTGAAACGTGAAGCCTTTTCTTGTAAGGTTTAGCCTGCAAGCAAATTCAGCCCTCACAGGCTCAAGACAGCACAGTGCATCAAATTACATGTGGCACTGTTGAATCTTCTAAGATGTCAGCATGTAGTTGCTTCCTGTGGCAGTCTTTGGAGGTTCTTCAGAGGAAGACAGTGAAGTGTTAGAAGTCTGTGTTGGAAATGCTGTCACTGGAAGTAAAGGAGATGTTACTCTTCGTTTAGTCAAGCTTTGATTGATTGCTTCAGTCAAAAACTTTCATAGATTGAAAAATGTACTGATGGGACCGTTCTGTTTCTTGTTCTGCAACTGCAGGAAACTATGGTCCCGGGGGCAGTGGAGGAAGTGGTGGATATGGAGGGAGGAGCCGTTACTGAGTTTCTTCAAGCATGCCATGGGTAAGTATGTTTTTAAGTGTTAAAATTGCAGTGATTCTTGAGAGTAGCTGCAGGAGTTAAAAGCTTTTTAGGATATTGTCTTTCCTTTAAAAAATGGTTAGATGAATAATTTCATAACCTATTTTTTTACTCTTTACTTCTGTTGAAACAGGCTTCACTGTATAAATAGGAGAGGATGAGAGCCCAGAGGTAACAGAACAGCTTCAGGTTATCGAAATAACAATGTTAAGGAAACACTTATCTCAGTCATGCATAAATATGCAGTGATATGGCAGAAGACACCAGAGCAGATGCAGAGAGCCATTTTGTGAATGGATTTGGATTATTTAATAACATTACCTTACTGTGGAGGAAGGATTGTAAAAATGCCTTTGAGACAGTTTCTTAGCTTTTTAATTGTTGTTTCTTTCTAGTGGTCTTTGTAAGTGTAGAAGCATTCCTTTGATAATGTTAAATTTGTAAGTTTCAGGTGACATGTGAAACCTTTTTTAAGATTTTTCTCAAAGTTTTGAAAAGCTTTTAGCCAGGATCATGGTGTAATAAGACATAACGTTTTCCTTTTAAAAATTTAAGTGCGTGTGTAGAGTTAAGAAGCTGTTGTACATTTATGATTTTAATAAAATAATTCTAAAGGAAATATTGTGTAATTTTAGATTTTTTTTTAATACTGTAAAATAAGGCAAGGAGTGGGTAGTATAAGGTCCCACAAATAATACAAAGCTATTGTTGTACGTGTAAAATTAAATGCTGGTGAGAAAAAGTATGTTGTCTGTAAATGACCAGGTTTAAAATATCTAGGTAACTTAAGGGGTATCTCTGCAAGGAGAAACACCTTTTTAGATTTTTTAGATGCTGCTTCTTCAATGGCAAGGAAAGGAAAAAACCCCAGCAAGGTACTCTTCCAGGGACGCAGGTCTAGTACAAGAGAACTCTTGAAAACGTCACTAAAAGTTCAGCCAGTCTTAAAAAGCTGTGCTGTATCTGCAAAGCTTTAACTACGGTAGATTGTTTATAAGGATGGCAACGAAGGCTGAGGGTGTAGAGCAAAATAGTTCTAAGCATCAGTTAAACTTCTTTAGGTAAGATCTTATTTACTTTTCCTTTCTTAATGTTTCAAACCCAAGAAATTAATAATGTATGACAGTATTCTTTCAGTATAGTGATTATCATTATGTAGTTTAACATATAGCAATGAATTGAGTTAACAATTATAAATTGAAAAGAAACTTGTGAATCCTGTTTTCTTGTATTAAATTTTTTTTACAAAAAAAAATTGTTAATTTCAGCTACTTAACATATTTTTTTCCTACTGGAATCTAGCTATGATATGAACCCTGGACAAGCATAGACTGCTGCCACTGTACACTGCTACAGTTGAACAAATGAGACCTGCAAGTGTCCATTAGTAAAGCTTTGCAAGGGTTCCATCCCTGGTGTTGGTAGTTAAAATGGTAGGTCACAAGTTAATTAAATCATACAACTTTATTTTTGCATCCTGCAACATTTTCTTTTTTCTTGGGAGTCTATGCATTATGGTGGTTGCAAGGTAATGCAATGAAGGTAGTTCTGTGCTGTTGAAAATGAACTATGTTGTTACGTGTCTTGTCTGCTGTAATCTATTCTATATAACACATTTCATCCTGAAGGTTCCCAAGTAACTGTAGAGTGTTTACGTGTAAGGAAAAGTATCACCACAGAATACATCTGCCTCTGTGAAGGAATGTGTCGTCCATTCTTTTAACAACTGCATAAGCAGTTCTTTAGGAGGGCAAGTGAAACCTTCAAATGAAACTGCAGGTGGTATTTCATAAGTGTATAATGTATTTATGTAAATTGGAATTTGGCTAGAATGTTGAGGTTTCCACCATTTTTTATAGTTCTTGCAGCTAACAAACCTTAGTGCCAAATTTAGTCAGCCTTACTCTCACTGCGTTGAATGTTTGCACCTCAAATTGATGGAAATTGATCAAGTAATGAATGAGTTACTCAGAGTAAGGGTGGCATACTCTACAAGATTTGGTTTTGATAAAAATCAACAAAACCTATCAAAAAGGCAACCAAAAATGCCTTAATTTCAAAGCTCATTGCCTCTAAAAGGCTACCCATTGAAGAACGTGGACTCAGCTAACAAAAGTCCTGTTCCTTTTGTGTTAGACACACCAGTGAACTGCTTATACTTTTTTTTTTAAAAAATGGCTGAAGTTCCCCTATTGGTAATTTGGTTTAGACATATGTGATAAACATCTTCAGATACACTTTTTTTTTCTTTGGCAGGAAGGTGCCATGCTGCAGGTAACTAATGAAGAAGTGGTCAACCACAGAAACGCTTCAAGAAATAAGAAATTCTGTATCATCAGAAAATAGTTGTTTTTGCTGCCTTCATTAAAAATCTAGAGGTTAAATGAATACTGATAAAACATCACAATTAGTACAGCTCCCTGTAATGATGGGTTTTTTAAATTATAGTAATGTCTTGTAAACCTTTCAAATAAAATTCAGATTCGTTAGGAGAAACAAATCACTAATGTTAAAATAGCAAACATTCTGTGAGTAGAAAGTTTAACTACATATATTTATAACTTTCATAGCTTTAAAATAAAGTATTTTTATACCAAAGTAGTTCTAGTGTAATGCTTAATAAAAACTTAGTGTGTATCTAACATTAAATAATGTTTATGTTTAGACCCTTTCATGATTTGAAACATTCCATTTTGAGGTGAATTTAAAACAGAATCAGTTTGACAAGTGTGTTCATGGAACTTGTTTCTCTGACCTTGGGCATCTGTTCTCTTTTGGGAGAAACAGTGCTGCAAATTTAAAAGTGCTGCTATCTTTGCTGTTGGACACAAGTGCTTAAAAGTAGCTTTTTTTGGCTGTGTTTTATATTACCTCATACTTTCCTGTTAACGAAACTACGGAAGTCAGTTTGTCAGATTGCAATAGGACAAGAGCTTTATCCTTTTCACTTCTAAAGAGCTTTTTAGTGTGAAGACAGACTGACTGGAATGTAGAGTTCCTGCTGTACAAAACTATTATCCATAGCTGCATCTGGAGGCGGAAGGAAAATACCAAAACAAAAAACACCAAACCAAACAAAACCGTTAAAACACACAAAGTGTGAGCTTGGGAGAGCTTCAGTTGGGAGTCTATTTAAGGGAAGATATTTTGAGGTTATACTGTTTTAACCACTTATCTTCATGCAAGATTTATTCAAAACTTGAAATCTATATGCTTTGGCAGAATCATCGTGTCTTTAACCTTTATAATACTGTTTAAGGATTCACATACAGTTTTTTTCTGTTTCTTAAGTTGAACTTTGAAATGCTTGAATAGGTAACCGGTGGGCTGCAATGGAAGCAGAAAATGAAGACGCACAAATCTGCTTTACTTTCTTCTTTCCAACAGAGTGAATGACGAGATCATAAGGAATTTGCCTTCTTTCCTATAACTTAGATGTAGTTGATGAAAGTTTTTTCTTTACAGTTGCCAAGTCCACATTCACACATCATTTTAAGAAAACTAACCAAACCACTTCAAAGGGCAATAATTGTTTTTCTGTTTCAAATACTATTTCAGTAGTGTAGCAACAAGGTTTAACATCTACTTGCATTGAGTATGTTTTCCATAAGGAGGATGTTCTCATTTTGATCTCGTGGCAGTGGGGGAAGGGAGCATATAGAGGGGACAGCACTGTGCAAGAATGAAATTACTGCATATTTCAAGTCTCGAAAACCTTAAAGACCTGGTGTCTTTAAGTTTCCTGATGTCCTGCTGTTGAACTTCCATGGTTTTTCTCTTGGTATGGTCTTAAAAGTTAAGGCACATGACAGTCAACAGTGGTCACCAGCAAATGTGGTGAGAGAAGTCACAATTTTGAGTCAACCTGATACTGGAAGTTAGCAACTTCAAATAAAAGCAGTATTGTGTGGTCTGTTACTGGTCATCAATTTGTAGACACATTCTTACTTTCTATCAAGTGGGATTTTGTCACTACATATTTTTGTCTTCCAAGTAAGTGTAACATTGCAGTGTTTCCAGGTACTAACAGCTCTGTGGATCAGGCTGTCAGGTTGTCCAGCTTTCCCCCAGCAAACACTCTGTGTAGCCAACTGAGGGAAGAAATAAAAACAACATAACTTGTTGTAAACTAGTGTGTGAGCCAAAGAACACCCAAAAATCGAGTATGACTTGTTTTATAAAGTGATGGTGAAAAGAGGTCAGTTCGTAGGGTTCTGGCCACTCAGATTTTGTGTTATAGACAATGAAAGTTGAATTTTTTTCTTCTATTGTGCTGTGGGTGCTAAAAAACATTCAAGAAAATGCAAACAATTGCTGTTAATACTGTAAAATGAACAGGACTTGAACTTTGTTATGTGTAGGAAAGACTATGTTCTTTTAGATGGATGATGAATGTACATGATCTCTTGGTGATGAAGTCATATCGATTCTAGGGAATAAAACCCAAGCCCCAGAAATGGATCTGGATTTTCAAACAGTTGTCAGCTGAGTTTGTTTTTGGCAACTTTGCCTCATTGGTAGAGGATAATTTGTTGGGAACATACTGGAGCTGTGCATTCCCTGTGGGTTTAGTGTTCCATTTGGTTTTTGAAGTAGTGTGTGATGCAAGTGAGCACTACTATAGTAGTGCTGTTGCTTTTTGATGTAAGGGAGGTGGCTGTTTCTCTTCAGCCATGCCATTCAGTGTGTCTAGGAATGCATAGCAGTGTTACATGGAGGGGTTTGCCTGGGTAATCCATTTTGCCAGAAGTACTGTCCCTTTTAACAGCCATGTTTTTGCTTTGCAGCTATTGTTGGCTTGTGTTGTACAGAAATTTTGTCAGGACTTAATCCAGTTAGTGGAGCAAGAACTGGTTTGTTCATCAGCAGTAAAATTACCATTGTATAAATAATACCTGTGTGAGTTACCTGACAGAGTGCTATGAACATTGGGGCAGCAGTGTTTGGGCATCTTGTAGTTGCAAACTAGCTTGTGAGACCTTCCATGCTGCTTCATTGTACGAAAAAGGGTGACTGGGGAAAAGTCCTAGAAAATGGCTGTTACCAGCACTCTTCCCTCCCCCCTTGTTAGGTTCATTTTGGGGCATTCTTGTATGAAAATGGGTGGCTGATGGACTTCATGGAGTTCTAGTAGCTGTGTAGCAGGTGTCAAGTTGCAGTACTTCATGAGGTACACACTACAGCAATAAGACTTCACGTGGTTAATCTGCCATCTCTATTTGGTTTACTTAATAAACAGTTTCTCACTACACCCTGGTGTTGAGTGTCCTGTTGCCTTATTTATAGGTCTCTGCTCACCTCTGTCCTCAAGATTCTTGTTAGAACTGTACTTGTGACTCTAGAGGATGAACTAATGTGTGTGTGTGTTTTGGGACAAAGATTAACAAGTTGGTACTCATGAAGTGCTTTGTCGGTTCTTTTTCTCACTGAAGTTTGTTCTGGTTCCCCCATCTAAAACTAGATTGTAAGCTCTTGAGCAGGAACATCTTTAGCTTGTAAAATTTGGCACTGTAAAAAGCCAAATCTATAGAATAAAACTTAAGCCATGCATTTAAAGCTGCACTTCAGTGCAGTACTGTAGTGGTCATTTAAGGTGCGTGTAGTGTTCAGCGGAATGCTGTGTCTGTTCTGGGATCGCATGTTCGCAGCAGGATCTCTCTACGGGCATGTCCAGCCTTGCAGGTCAAAAATCATGCAGTGGCGGTTGCCGTTGGATGGAGTATTCGGCTTGCCTTTGCTGCTGGTGGATATTTCTCCAGAACAGGTGAATCTTGGAGCAGCCAGCAGGTAATGCTTCAGAGAACATGTTGCTGCCATCAATAATGGGAATACAGTCCGCCCAGTGTTTTCTTTTACTTTTTCTGACCTTTCCTAACCTCTTGCAGATAAGCTCTTTCTAACATAACAAAAATGTAGTTTACCACTGAATGTTACAGACTACTTAAAAGCTTTGCCATGGGACCAGTATTTTAATGATCGCTCCCACTTGGGTTTCTGGTTTTTGTTGCTGTTGTTAACAGCTATGTTTACAATCATTAGCTTAGTGGTTTCCTAGTTATATTGAAAAAGTGTTTTCAGTCTAACTTCACAGACTTGTGTTTCAACAGAGTAGTAGTACGGTAGGATGTGGCTGTAATGTCTTTGTGCCATCTGGCTCCAGAGTAGGTCTGATACCATATTGTGTCTTTCCACGCAATAAAACTCCTGGTTTACACACTTGGGATTTTGATTCTGTGAAAATCTTGATCAATAATAAAGACAAGACATGCTTCAGTCAGGTATTACCCACATTTAACAGCCCTTTTCAGTAACAACTTTGATCAGTCCTGTTTACCAGAAAAGGTCAATTCTGTAGTGTGTCTATTTTGGTACAGAGGTTGCAGATACAGTCTAAGGCCAGTACATAAAGTGCATTAAAAGCTTCAGCTGTCTAGCCTAACCACACATCATATAAGGACATGGAACTATAAAGCATAGCCAAGATCAGGCCAAGTTTGGGAATTTTTGTTTGGTGTGGGTTTTGTGTATGTGTCTGTTTGGGATTTTTTCTTTAAACACAGGCTAGTTGCAGAAAGGGAATACACTTCAAATGAGTCTACTCCAACTGAAAACGGGACATTGGTCTGAACTCTACCTATGGTTTTGTCCTGTGGGCAGGGAGCTGATGGTTTTAAAAAACACACATCCAGACATAAAGTTCATTGTATCGTCAGTACTGTTGCAGTCCACCCAAAATCAGTATTTCAGCTCAGTCTTTTGTAGGAGTTGCGTGTTGGGTACCGAGGAACTGGGGCTCTTATATCAGTGTTAAAGAAATAGTTACTGGGCAATAATGACAGTTGAGTTAGCTAAGGGCAGCTCACGATCCTTTACAATCTGCAAATTTACAGGGAATGGAATGGTATTGGGGCTGATGTCTTTAATGGATCAGTTGGAATAAACTGCTTTCCATTAGTATTGTGTTCTGAAAGGGTTACAGTATGCTTTATTTTAGGCATGTACCAAAATTTGCCTGTGTAGCTGTTTCCCAATTGGGTATCTGCAATACTCCATTAGCAGCTGGCCTTAGAAAAATCCAGAGCTCACCTGCTACTGAAGGAGTGGGCACTAGAAAATTTAGGCTTTTTTTTTTTTTTTTCTCCCCATGTGAGGCCCTAAAGCAGAAATACTTGGCTTTCTGGATTTCTCAGTTGTGAGCCTAATGTAGTAGCTATCAGAATTTATGCACATGGGCAGTGAAGTAGGTTTAAAGACCTTGTCCTGCAAAAGGTAAGTGTGTGCATTTTAAAATGTTCATGTCCTTTAATTGATTATGATAATGCTGACTTAAATACATACTTCTTTATTCCCCTACAACTAGAAATAAAGTTCACAATTCATCATATGTATCTGATACCTATGGCATGTTTTGGTTGGAGTTTGTGATCTAGCCTGTAGACAAATCCCATGTGAATACCGATTAGGATAGGTGTGTCTCACACTGATGCTTAACCAACAGCAAGTAATGGCATAGCCTCAGTAATGAGACTTTCTGCTATGAATTTACACTTACCAATTTGAGACTGGTAAAACCAATAAAGAATACATGCATACAAATATTAAAAGAAATATTTTAATAGAAAATGTTGAGAAAATTGTTCAAACAGTCTGATTTCATGACTGATAATTTAGTGCACTTGGCACTATCTTACGGCTCCCTTTTTAGACAATGTCACTTGATAGTATCAGTTTTGTTACAGATAAGTGCAAGCAGCCAATGAGACTTCCATGCTAGTGGCAGTTTGTTTCTTCAGCAGGTATAATTAGGCATTTAAGCTTGTATATGTAGTTGGTTGGTACAAGTGATTTTTTTAACACACCTGAATGTAAGTTTGTTCCGTTGTCATCATGCCATGACCAATGAGAACTTTTTAAATACCAGTTTTATGTGTTTTAGTTATAAAATTAACAAGAAGTATTTGTTATCTAGAAATTAGTATTTGTAGTTACTTTCCTAATATACCTCAACATTCCTTTGTTATCGTTCATTACAGGCCTTTTAGGCCATCTCTTGCAGACCTTTTTCAGGCTGTAAAACAGTAAAGGGACAGGATGTTGTAAGTAGGTAAGTGAATAAAACTTCTTTCTAATAGCACAAATAAATGTCAAAACCAAAAAACTCTTCATTTGGAGCACTACCAGAGTGTAACCTCATTATTACAAGTATAGATAAACAGTAATTTGGTTCAACTTAATTTAAAGACTAAGTAAAATGTGTATTTTAAAAAGTTAAATCTGGAACATTAAAGACACTTAAAAAATACTAGTTAAAATGCCACAGAGAAAAATTCAAGTACTTCTTGAGGAAGGCGTCAAAATAGGAGGAAAAGAGTAGGTACACAAATAAATACCACAGTCACTAGGAAACAGAACAGATACTCCTTCACCATTGGTCATTTTTGTGGAAGAAAGCTGAGAATTGCTTAGTTGCAGAGGATGAAGGTAAGAAAACACTGAATCAGACACTATTTTTCAGCATATTTGTAGATTGAGTGTATGAGTTGTAAAATTAAGTGGCAGGTTATCTTTACTTAAGAGTTATGATGCTGAAAATGCTGAGGAAAAATGCAGCAGCCTCCTGGGCTGCTCTCCTCAAAGGAAAACTAGAAAAAGCAGAGCTGTTCTGAGTAAATGCAAAGCACGCAGTTATCTCTTGAGCCTATGTAAATCCACAGTGAGTTTAAGTTGAAAATGTACTAGAACTATAATTTTTCTTTCAGTGCTAGAGAATAAAACAAGGTCATTTTCTGTATAAAGAGTCAAGTATTCAAGACTAAAACATTTTCTTGCATGTGTAACACTGATCCAAAGTTGACTTTTATCCCTCACTGATGTTCTCCCCTCTGCCCCCCATTACCAGTAACTAAATTCCTAGTTTTAACATAGGTCTATAAAGCTACACTACACTGATGGTCTAGCTCCTTTAATTCTATCTAGAACTAAACAGATTTCCTCATCCAGAAGCCTCAGCTCATGGACCTTCTAACAGATATCACAGCTGGTTGGGTTTGCCAGACTCTTGAACGTAGAGTGATTCTTCTCAAGTGTAGTTTTTGTTTGAACTGCTGTAGTAACTGACCTTTAGTTGTCACACAAGTACTCTTATCATCCTTTGAGGCACAATAAAGGTGATTTAGGTGAGCTCCAGTCATCTTACTTTTGTTTCTGCTCTTTTCTGTTATCTTGTTTCTGTTCAGATTTGGCCAAGTGCTTGGGTATTATGAAAACACTACCATTGCTACTGCAGTGAATGACATACTGGCATGGGTTAACAGGTCTACCCTGGTCATCCCTCAGTCTGCTGAAAATGTCATGGTACAAGTTGTTTAATTTTTGCTTTATCTGGTTGATTAATTTGCTACACTGAGAGTGCTCCTTTTTAAGGCTCTCCTTCTGTGTTTGGAGATTACACACATCTTCTTCCAAGTTAAGAATTGCATTCAGTTTGCGTTTACGACATTTCTGGGCAGCTACCTTGTTTTTTCCTCTTCGTCTGATGTCACGTAGAAGTGATACCTGAGTTTCTGTCAGCTGGTTCTTTGCTAGCATGGTGTTGAAAGAGTCAACGGACATGCTCACAATTTCCTCCACTGAAAATGGTATTCTCAGAGCTTTTGCACGCCATTCATCTCTGCTCCGGTTTGCAGCAGTAGAATTATGGTACCTCTCCTTTACTTCGTTTGATTTCTTCATCCACATCTGTTGATGATGCTCTGGAGTGGATGCTGCGTGACTTGGCAGCTGATTGTAAGTGTGATTATGAAGAAACTGCTGAAGCATGGCTTCTGTAGGACACTGTGCAACACCTGGATATTCCACATGGCCGTGCTTAATGTTTTCTTGGCAGTGGCCAGCAACAGCTCCCAAGCTGTGCGAAGGAGCAGATTTAACACCGCTGCTGTACCCAACAGAATCATCGCAGCAGACCGAATAGTTGGTGGTGCTGTGATTTGAATTCAGAGGTAGTCCCGAATCTGAGCCAGGCTCTTCAAAGATCTGAGAAACTTCTATAGGACTAAAGCCTTCCTCTAAAGCCAAAGACATGAGCTTAATTTCATCAAAATTATCATCATGGGCTGTTATATTTCTAAGGTCAGCAGCCGAAAACAGCCCTGTCAAATTTGACCCATGAAACTGTGATTCTGGATTTGTGATCTCAGAGCTTGATTGAGGGAAAAACTCTTGCCTTTGTAAGTGTCTTGGTTTTGAATTTAATGGAGTGGGGTAGTCTGTTCTTAGTAGCATGGCATCAGGAGGACTGAAACTGTTCTGAAGTGTCTGGGTCAAGTTTATATTGTGCTGTGAGGATGATGGGTCTTGGCCTCTACTAGAAGTAGCAATTTGTGTATCTTCCAGTAAGTTCACCTAAAAGATAAAGGGGGAAAAAATGAGATCTTTCATAAAATGAATGCATCTACATCCCTTGCCTACACAGTCACAAACATTTTTTAACATTCCACTACTCGATTCTATTAAAGCCAAACTTTTGTAAGTTAAACTCTTCTTGTAGCTATTTGGAATGCTCTTTCCCATCTGTATAAAGCATAATCTGTATTGGCATATGGCAAAAGGAAGCAGGAAGAGTGCAGAAATGACTGAAGGAATGGGAGAAGGACTTGCAAAGGAGAGTGTGGGACTGATGAGGATTGGGGGTAAAAATGGGACTATTGCCAAGTGTACAAACTATGACCTACATGTTCTGTCTGATCTGCTCTAAGAAAAAAATCCTGCTGGGAGGAGTGGTCATGACCCTTCCCTGGCAGTGGTATTGATTCAAGGGTGAGCTGGTTCACCGTGCTACACTGCTAAAAACCAAACTTCTTTTAAAAGAAGATAAATAGCTCATCTGCAGAAGTTAACCAGTAAGGACAGCAGTGAAGAAAAGTGGAAGACAGGAATATTAAGACTGTGCTTTTGCAGTCCCACTACTTATTTCAGTTTATGAAGTTTTCAGAGATGCGAGGTGCCACATTTGGTTTAGTTCCATTTAACTGAAGTCTACTGTATCCAAAACTCAGCTGAACTGTTTTACTGATCAGTTTGGAGGTAACATCCCCCCACCAAGTCACACTTTTTGTGGATGTCTTGACTTTAAATAACTACTCAGGGTTTTTTTACAGAATCAAAGCTGATACACAATGCCTCAGCCCTGATGTTCAAACAATAAACTGGACTGGTAATGCTGTAGTAGCACTAAGGCCCACCTTTTGAGGACCTGAGTTAGAGTTGCTGGGTCTTAGAAGCACAAAGCAAGTGTCCAATATTTTGTCAGGTGCTTGTAATAGATCGATACAAAGTACTTGAGAATGTAAATATATAAAGTAGGAAGTGTACAGGATTCCTCCATAGTTGAGTGTCCTTACTGTGTTTCAGGAAAAACTTTCTGATTGGCATTCAGTGAACATGTATAAAGCACTTTCCACAGGGAAGGAATGATGTACTGTAAGGACCTGAACATCTGGGATTATGGTTACTGGGAGCTCAGGTTAACAGGAAGGTGGTCTTGCCTTATTTCTCCTAGGGGGTTACCTTGTACTAGGCCACCTGCAGTCTGTGAGACAGAGATGCTATTTTCAACCAATCCCTTGAAAAGACTGATTCTTAGTTAAGTCAGCTATCAAAAGACTTGATACTTAGCAGAAACAATCAATCCATATTCAACAGATAGATTGTCACAAGATGGCAGTGCATTAATGATGTTAGATAAAATATGCAATATGTTACTGTGTATTGTAATAGCTGTATAAAGGCTACAGCCACATTCCTTTCAAATTTTGAGAATGGAGAAAACTAAACTGATGAACTCCTGCATCTCATTAGTATGCAATCCATTTCCAGAGCTGAACAGAAGAGGAGGCTAATTTATGGGCTACTATCCAAGCTAGAGATTCCCAAAACCAGATAAGCATGGAGTTAAATGGAGAACACTAATGACCCCAGAAGAGGATCCTGTGATGGGAAGTGTATGTAAGATGCCCTTGAAGTATGGCAAAAAAGGAATGTAGGGAGTAGCTTCATGGTCAATAATTGTAGCTATGAGATGTGGGAGGAGGAGGAGATTTCAATTATGGTAACAACTGGTTTTTGTGAAGATGGGCACACAGAAAGTAAAATATAGTATCAGAGGGCCACAAGATTAAAAAATACAAAAAAACCCAAAACACTAAATGTGTTTACTGCTAATGCTGACTGACCTGATTTGCAGCAAAGATGACCTGTTTGTGAGAGCAGCAACCCTGTAAGCACTTGACCCAATATTTATGACAAATGTAATCTTTCACCACAAATACCCAATAAATAAATGTGTAGTAAATCAGTGTTGCTCTAGAGAAACACACCAGGAGTGACTGCATAAATACAAACTGGTATTACGTTTCAGAAAGGCAACTCTTAGTTGAACTAATTGAGTTGTCCAGTGGCTCCATCCAACTTTGAACACCAGATCACAGTAAAGACACAACTCTTACACCAAACAAGTTGCTGGGGAAAATTTTTCAAGTAAAGCCAATGAGAGCTGCTGTAAAAAGTGGACAGTAGCATCTTTAGCAGTTTCAGGTAAGTTTTACTACATTGATTTGCCAGTAAATTCCCAGAGAAGGTAGGTAGGCTGTGGTGGTTTTATTTGATAAAACAGAGTAATTGCTGACTGTATTCCAATCTATTGGCAATACGTGTATTTTCTGATTTACCTCTAGCATGTTTTCCACCTGCGATGACAGAAGCTGAAAATAGCCCTCCAAGGAGAGAAGGGAATCTACATGGTTGCTGTTGCTCTGTGACAAAAAGAGAAACACGGTGTAAAGCACAGTTATTTTGCCTAAAAGGAGGTAAAAATCAAAGTCTGAGAGGAAACAGAGCACAGTGCAATACTGCTGCTGACCCCACCATCAAGTCTTCATCCTGATGGGAGATGACATATTGCTAGAAGGAGCAGAACAGCTCCATGGCCTGAGCATCCCCACTCTGCCCACAACAGCAGACCTGGGCTCTCCTCTGAAGCTGTACCTCCCCGCCAGTGTGGAAAAATCAGGTATTTTCTCAAAGCCTAGCTCTCAGGGGGGTGGCAAACAGAGGCTGGCAAGACACCTGGATCAGATGTTCTCAGCTCTCACAAGGTCTCAAGAAAATTGAGTGCTCTTTTCATTGCAGCTCTTAGAGAGGACAGAACTGAAGAGTTCAGTGTCCTAAATGTAACTCTACATCTGAGCATCAAGCTTTATATAAATGGTGAGAGCAGTATAATTTAGCATCCACGTCTCTAGTGTTTGTAGGCAAAAACATCCTTGCCCACAAGCACAACACCTTCACAACAGAGAAAATAAACCCAAATTAAAAAATAACTAGTTGCAAGTGTTTTCTGTAAACCTCTGAATATTTAAACTACTCAAAAAATAGTGGGGGATTGAGGGAAGGAGGCAGTTTTCAAAAAGGTGTACAAGGGCATCATTTACAAAGCATTGTCTGAAGTGAACGTTCCCTTCCTCCCCTAGCAAGGAACCCTTCAAATGAAAAGAGGAAATAAATTATTCCTTTCAAAACTTTTCACTACTATTTATCGTAGTGATAAGTTCTGTATCCTCCCTCACTTCCTCTTCAGTTTTCCCTTCTTCCCTTTCTTTTTAATCACTTACTTGATTTTTGTCTTTCTCCTCTTCTTCTTGCAGTTCCAGCTGATCCTCTCCTGGAGGTGGACAGCAGTCATCTAAAGCTCCCCGACATGCTTTCAAGTCAACATCCTGAAGACACAAATAAAATGGTTCTATTACACAGCATGCTCTCAAAATTAATCTTTAAAAGGCACTTTTTTTCCTCCAGTGATAGCATTCCAAATAAAATGTGAACAGGTCATGTGGATGAACTGAGTGTGTGGACTCTGAGGGCAGAATAAGACCAGTGTCAGTTCAGGGGGGCAGCCACCACTTCTTGTTTTGGTGCCCAGGCACTGAACCCATCTGCAGTAGAAATGGACAGTGGAAACAAATTCCTCTAAACCAGACAAAGAACCCTGATGTGATTTCATGAAAAGTTTGGACTATCAGTGTCTTCTGGAGGTCATTTCATAACAACATGTCCAAGCCAGATAGATACTCAATGATGGAATCATAAAGCAGGCAATTACACATAACCAGTTAGCAAAATCCCTTGCTTACCTGTATTGTAATAGCAATTCTGTTTCCCATCACTTCCATGTAGAAATTAGCCATTTTCATTTATCCAAATGATGGAGTTTCTTAATCTCCAGTGATGAGATTGTTCAAATTTAGGGGCCTCAGAAGCAATTTTCAAGTTTTATTTTTTTATATTTGTATAATCAGCCTTCTTAATTGTTTATTATAAAGGGCTGGAGTACTGCTAGAGTAAGAAGGAATCAGTACTAATTCCTATTTTTAAGAAGTGTGTATTTATATTTAAAAATATTTTCATATTTCAGCTTTTGTAGGGCAAGTCTATTATTAAAATGTAAACTCAGAGGAGTGGCAGCCAGGAAACCAAGTGGCCACACTGCATTAGTTCCAAGTATTCCCAGCAAAATGCTGTGGCAGAAGCAGAAAATACAAGTTTTCAATGGCAGCAAAGATAATGAGATAGTGTTCAGTTCTAAAAATCTCAGCAAACAATTTACTTGACAGGTTTGTTACGAAAGCATAAACTACATAAAACCTGCAGTTTTAATAGTCATCAAAACATATAAGAGTTTTTAAATCGTTCCTTCATACAAAACACATTAAAAAGTAAATATAAAAAGTTCAAAAACAGGACTCAAGAGAAAACTTAAATATAACCTTAAAACAAACTAACATTATTTTCAATTTTGTACGTTCTATTTAAATATTTTAAAAGATGAAAACTAATTCCATTTTAAACTAATTTTGTTTGTTGGCTTTCAATTTTTCTGTATTTTCTTCTCAAGACTGGAAGAGAACTTTAGCTTTATAAACAGCCATTTGTAAAAACAAATAGATCTACAGGGCACTCATCTGTCATTCTGATGTAAGAATGAAGAGTTTCCTTCAGTGATGCCTAACACAGTTGCTACTCATTAGAAATTATATTCCAATACATTATGTCTTCTTTGTCAGCTGCATCTGGAAATGACCAGATGATTTTTTTATTGCCAAACATGAGAAAACAAATTTACTTGCCTAAAACCAGACATACACACATACAAAACAACAGTAACAACAAAATGAACCTCCTAACCAACAGTTTTCTCTATGCAGTTAAACAGAAGAGGGCATTTACTACACAAGACACTGAGAACATTGTAAGTACCTATGTGCAGACACTCCAATGAGTCCAACGGAGCACATCACAGACATGAGGTTAGTCCCATACTTATGTGCTTGCAAGATAAGGGCTAGGCTTTAATTTTACAGAGAACCAACCTAATACTTGTCAAATTCATGTGACCTGTTAATATTCTAATTAATACAATTCATGATCATCAAAAGTGAGTAAGAAGTGAAGGACAACTGCTGTTAAAGACCTTAAGCAGCTCCTCTGGAGCCAAGAGGTTTGGAAAGCTGCTGCTCTGGCAGAGCACTCAGCTCCTGGGTAACACAACAAATTCATTACTCTACTGGCTGCAGAAGAGGAAAATGCAGGAAATAGTTTGAAATGTGATATCTATAACATGATGCCCCTAAAAACCAAGCAAGCACTGGGTTTGAATACAGAAGGTATACGAGTCACAAACTTGATTGCTCCTTTTAAAATTTCTAGGGGTATAAACCTGTTTCTTTTCCCTCTGCCAGGAAAAAGAAAAGCTTGGGGTAGCTTTGGGAAGAGCCCATGATGTGTCCTACAGATCATTCAAAATCCTCACAGTTCAACTTTCTTATGGTGGAAATCTGCAGATAATGATGGTCTGCTCAAGTCTACAATGGAGATGGTCCTTCCCAAACCACTGTGAGGACAACTAAATTTCTGATGTACCTGATGATCTCCTTTCTGAAGGGAAACTAAACGCTCCTGAAGCTCACAGAAATTTGTGAAAACTGTCTTGTATTAATTTCCCCAAGATGTCAAAGATAACTGAATTTTCAGGTCTTTTCTTATCAGTATATAAAACTGCTGGCTGCTAAGAAAGTGGAGAATATTCCCCACTAGAAGTTTTGGAATTTATCTGGAGTCTACATTCATTTTTATGTATCTTTAAGGAAAAAATATATACCTATTTTCTCTACTCAGCCATGATGGTGTCATGGTACCCACAGTTTCCAGGCTGAGAGCCACCATCTGCACTACAGCGCCACCGTGATATTTTCTGAAAAATCCCTTCGCCAGGGGTTTTCTCCTGAGAAACTGAGAAGCCTCAGAAAAAAAATGTAAACAATAATTATCTGATTGCTTTGGAATGTGGTCTGGAGGTTGTTTACCAACAGATGCATCTTTAATTAGTTCCATGTGAATTGTGTTGACTTAATGACCAATCCCAGTCCAGCTGTGTTGGGATCTGGCCAGTCACAGGTTCTTCTTATTAATTTTTTTTTTCTAGCCTTCTGTCTGTATCTTTTCTCTACAGTTTAGTACAGTTTTAATACATAATTTTTAAAATATAATATCATAATATAATAAATCAGCCTTCTGAAACATGGAGTCAAATTCATCTCTTCCCTCATCCTGAGACCCTCACACCCGCAACACTACAGGATCACAAGCCATTAAAGGACTCTTGGCCTTCAGCACAGAATGGAGGTCAGAACCTCCCTCTGATCTTTGCACAGAGCTCCTGCTGATGTGAATGGAAGAGAGGTGCCAGTGGGGAAGGGAGGGAAGCAGGGTCTCACACTTGCAGGCAAGCCCATTCCTGTAGCTTACCAAAGGGAATGTGCCATCTCTCCTGAGTGAGGTTCATAACGCTGCACTGTGTGGCTCTGAAGATTAGTCTTACTAACACCACGTCTTCCTCCAGCAGATGGTATTAAAATATACTCATGGCTGTTCACAGCGATTATTACTACAGTAAGTTTTCCATCCTTAGAAAAAACCTGTTTTCACCACTACCAGAGCACTTGCTGAAGGATCCTGGTGCTGCAGCCAGGTTTTCACAGCAGTGGTGGAATAGATACAGCACACGTAAGGTATTTCACATCACAAATTTTCACCTATGGGATCATTTCAGCAAATCCTTCTATACAGCAATCAACCAGAACCTTTTTGCTTTCGTTTCTCTATTTTGGCTTTTCACAAAAATCCCCCTGGATTACACTGGGTTTTGCATAAACCAGGTATCCCCTGGTTTTTTGCTTTCTATTACACTTCGCACCAGCTTGTTAGTCTTCCTCAGTGATGAAGAATGACTGAACAGCACAGCTCAACAACAGAATGCTTCCTTCCATGCCTGTTGTATCACGTGGGACTGACTGCTGGATTACTGCTATGGGGAGAGTAGGAGGGGTGTCTCCCCAAGAAACAGCCACACTCTGTTTTTGAATAAGGCATTTCATTAAAGATACCTTAATTCTACAGACTGGATGTACATCTAATGACAAAAGTTTTATTACAAAGGATATTAATCTAATGGAAAGAAGGATTAGGCATAGGTACTATTTATTCAGCACTGTGCTGACACATTCAGTGTTTCTGTCCTTCCCATCCTTATTTTGCCACAAGGGTAACAGAAGAAACAGTAATTTAGTTACAGCAATACCACTGAGCCCAAGAAATCGGTAAAGTGTGTGGTTGTCTCTGTATAGAGAAAAAGACTTAATTTTTGCTGATTGTAGAAGACTTAACAATACCACCAACGCCATCTACTGCAGAAACCTTTCCCTTTCTACCGCTGGAGGGTGTGGAAGTTCATGCCTCCAGCAGTAGGCTGTTTCCAAATGGTAAACTGCAACCCTACCTGAGGGCAACCTTCAATTTGCATTTGGAAGGACTCATGTGCAAGCACAAAGCCAGAGAGTTACACTAAAATTCTCAACATAAAATAATAATAAAAAAATAAAATCCCAAATATCTGAAATTTTCATCTTGCTTCTGCCACTTACTATTTTCAATTGCATTAAAGAATACAGTCTGAGACTGAATATGATTTACCAAATTATCCATCAGCTCTGTCTGTGGGGGGCTGGCCTCTAACCGTGCACCTGCCCTTTCCCTAAGGTACAGCTATAGGCTTCAGTTTGTCAAAATGAGAAATAGTAGTTTATGTTAAATCTGCTACTTAAGGAGGGCCAAGAATCAATGTGGAAGTGAGAGAAAGTATGGTTTTGTGGGTGGCCTGGCCTACACTTAATTGGAAGCATGCTGCCTGCTCCGGCAGGATTCCAGAGTTTCTTACTCTATGTTAAAAATAGAGCCTTCAGATTCCAATTAAGTAAATCACAGTATCGATCTCAGCATGAACTGGGTGTACTGTACATCAAACTATCCTCCACATGTCTTGTCCCCTTGCTTCCTACACCCATGTCTTATCTGCTGTCCTTAAAAGAATGTACAGGGAGCAGAACCTGTAATGAAACCAAAATAAAAAAAGGTCTGCCGTGGTGTATTGGATGGGTGAAGAAGATCCCTCTGAAGGAGCAGCAGTAAGTGTAATAAATCTCTTTTCAGCTGTTGATCTTTGTGCAGTTGGCACACAGGACTAGAACTACACAATCCAGGGCTACAAGTGCACAGAAATACTTGAACTAGCTTTGGAGTAACAGAAAGGTCTTGCTGGAAGAGAGCAGAGCAGACAGGGTGGCTTGCCTGGGTGCACAGACAGCACTGAGAGGCAGGGGGTGCC